TTTGCTGTGCTTGGTGCCTGGCCAGTGGCGCTCAGGCCCAGCCCTGCTCTCGGAACTTCAGCCCCACCCACGGGGGGTTGAGGTCTTTCTGGGGCAGCGTGAAGTGTGCTGCTGGCGGCCACACTGCCCGCTCCATGTGGGCTGCAAAGTGGAGCGCTGGTCCCGGGGATCAGTGGGTTGCAAGGGGTTGGATCCTGTGTACACTCTCTCTGTCTCTCCTGGAAGTAAACGCTGCACCCCTGGAGCCTGCTGTGTTTGTGTTCTGTTCTCAACAACTCAGTGTCATGCTCTGGTCTCTTCCGTGGGTGACGCTTGCTTGCTTTTTAACCTTGGCCACATGGCCTGACCATTCAGGGAACAGTGGAACTGTATGTTTAAGGGCCTGGGGGGGGGGGTCTTTTTAACTATTGTATGGTATTCACCCTATAAAGCGCTCACTTTGGCTTAGCTGTGTTGATGGACAAGCAGGTTACCTCCCAATATTGTGTTGTTATAAAGAGTTCTCTGAGGAACAGCAGGGTCACGTCTCTGTACCTGCGCAGGTGTTTTTCCGGGGAGAGTCTTAGTGAAATTCCTGGGGCCTGAGTAATGTCACTTTTTAATCTTACTGCACTTTCAAACTGTCCTTCCTGGCGGCTGTATAAATTTACACTTGTAACAGTGGTCTATGCTTTTGTTCTTTTTTTTTGTCAAGAGGTTTTTAAATACTCATGTAGTCATTTATCACTTTCCCTTTTTTTTTTCTCTTAAGAAATCCTAACCCCAGGGTTCTCACTCTCTCTCTCATTTTGCAGCATTTACTATAACTCATTTTGTATGTTATCTTTTATTTTTATTTGCCGGGGCAGCCGTCTGTATGCGAGTCGCTGAATTATCCCCTCTTCCCCACCGTCGGACCCCGAGCGTGGCCGCTGTCACATGCCGGACGTGCATGTGGGTATGAGGCTTTGACCGCCCTTTCGGTCTGTTATTTGTGTATTCCTTCAGTAACACTCAGCATTGTGATTGCTGTATTTTTTATATAATAGGCCATATTAACTGGTGGAACAAGTCTTGTCACCTTTAAAAAAATAATCTTGGCTCTCGTTGGTCTTTCATTCTTTTGTATGAGTTGTGGATTATGTTTATCAAGTCCAAAGAAAGTTATATTGGGGTGTTGTAGACTTTTCATGTTAGTTGAGGAAGAATTGATATCTTGAAAATAGGAGTCTTCCTATCCCTTAGACTTATTCAGATCGGTTTTGTCTTGTGCCAGCTTACTGTTAAGGTCTTACACATTTTTTATTAGCTTTATTTCTGGGTATTTTATGGTTTTCACTGCTGCTGTTGTGTTGATTCTTTTTCTAATTGGTCTTTCCTGGTGTATTGGAAAATTATTGGTTATACATTGGCTGTACATTTAGCTTACTTAATGACCTCCCCTAGTAGTTTTTCAGTTGATTCTCTTAGATTTTTTTAAGTGGGTGTTCATATCATTCATGAGTAATATTAGCTTCGACCCTTCCTTCTTTTTGAACAGCTCTCTATTTGTTATTTAGTTGTATAGGCTAGGATTACATTGTCTTACTGTTCCTGATTTTAATTGCAAGGCTTTTAATATTTTCACTATTTACTGTTACATTTGCTGTAAATTTCTCGTTTTTTTCCCCATCTCAAGTTGGAGAGTTTCCCTTTATTCCTGGATTGCAAAGAATGTATACCAAAAAGAAGATAAAGCTATGGTTGTAGTAGACCTTTCTTTTTAACTTTTAAGAGATTACCAGTATGTGAAGAGCTATATGTGAATAAATTTGAAATCCTTGATGAACACTTGGGTTGTTTCCTCCTTTGGACTATGATGAACGCTGCTGCTGTGAACATTTGTGCACAAGTTTTTTTGTGGATATCTATTTTAATTTCACTTGAGATATATGTGTGTATATATAGAATTATAAGTAGTAACTGTATGTTTAAGTTATGAAGAATGGGCAGACTGTTTTACAAAGTGACTGCACCAATTTACATTCCCATCAGCAGTATACAAGGGTTCCAGTAGCTATCTTCTCAATCTTTCCAACGTGTTATTTTCTGACTTTTTGATTCTAGCCATCCTCATGGGTAATGAAGTGGTATCGCATCGTGGTCTTGATCTGCTTTTCCCTGATGTCTAAAGTTGCTGACTGTTCTGTGTGTTTGTTAGTCATTTTTGTATTTTCTTTGGAGAAATGTCTGTTTAGATGCTTTATTCAATTTTGTGTTATTCGTTTTTTTATTATTGAATTGTAAGAATTTTTTATATATTCTAGGTAAAAATCCCTTACAAGATACGTAATCTGCAGATATTTCCCCCAGTCAGTGGATTATCTTCTCACTTTTTTATATGTCCTTTGAAGCACAAGGGTTTTACATGTTGATGAAGTCCAACTTGTCTATTTTTTTGCATGTGTTTTTGAAGTGTATTTGGTGGACTCTGTTGCCTAATCTAGTGTCATGAAGTATTGTGCCTACGTTTTCTGATAAAAATTTTGATCACTTTAACACCTACATGTAAGTAGGTCTTTGATCCATTTTGAGTTAATTTTTGTATATTGCATGGTGTACAGGTCCAGCTTCATTCTTTGTGTAAACATACGGTTGTCCCAGCATCATTTTTTGAAAAGACTATTCTTCCATCTTTAATTGGTTTTGGCACCCTTGTCAAAAATAAATTGGCTTATTTCTCAATAAAACTGGAAAAAGAGAAGTTGATCATTGGTATATGGGCCTATTTTTGGACTCGTAATTCTGTCCCACTGGTCTTTCTGTCCGTCCTTCTGCCAGCATCACACTGTCCTGATGACTGTGCCTTGTGAAGTAAGTTTTGAAATTCGTAGCCTGAGCCCTTACATTCCTTTTCAAGATTAGGCTGGGTCTTTTGAGTTTTCATATGTTAGGATTAGCTTTTCAGTTTCTACAAGGAAGCCAGTTGGGATTCTTACAGTGATTGCATTGAAGCTGTAGGTAAATTTGGGGAGTATTGTCATCTTAATATTTAGCCTTCTGACCTATGAACACAGAAAGTCTTTCTGTTTATTTAAATTTTTATTTTTTTTTAACAATGTTTTGTAGTTTGGGGGATATGCTCTTTTTTTTGGTTAAATTAATTCCTGCCCTGGTCAGTGTGGCTCAGTAGGTTGGAGCATTGTCCTGTACACTGAAAAGTTGCAGGTTTGATTCCCAGTCAGGGTACATGCCTGGGTTTTGGGTTCTATACCTTTGTTGGGGAGCCTACAAGAGGCAAGCAGTGAGTGTTTTTTTGTTATATTAATGTTTCTTTCTTTCTTTTTTTCTATGTACATATCACATCTTTTGTGAATAGAGATTGTTCCACTTCCTTTCTGATATGGATGCCTTTTTTTTTTTTCCTTGCATAATTACTTTGGTTAGAACCTCATGTACAGGGTTAAATGGAGAGTGGACATCCTTGTCTTGTTCCTACTCTTTGGGGGAAAGAAGGCATTTGGACTTCATTGTGTTTGATGTTAGCTGTTGGTTTTGTAGATACTTCTTGTGAGACTGAAAAGTTCCTTTCTATTCCTAGTGAGTGTAGTTATCATAAAGAGTTTGGATTTTTATCAGATGCATTTTCTGACATCATCATGTGATATTTTTTATTCTATTGATATGTTAAACTAACCTTGCATTCCTAGGATGAATCTCACGTAGTAATGAGGTATAATTCTTAGATGTGGCTGGATTCAGTTTGCTAGTATTTTGTTGAGAATTTTTGCATTTATATTCATAAGAGATACTGATCTCTCTGGTTTTGGTATCAAGGTAATACTGGCCTTATAGAATGAATTTGGAAGTGTTCCTTCTTCTGTTTTTCTGAAGAGTTTGCGAAGAATTGGTATTTTTTTCTTCAAATATTTGATAGAATTCAGCAGTGACGCCATCTGGGTCTTGGCTTTTTTTTTGTTGGTAGTTTTTGATGACCAGTTCAGTTTCTTTACTTATTATAAGTCTATTCAAATTATGTGTTTCCTCTTGAGTCAGTTTCATCAGCTTCTGTTGTATAATAATTTGTCAAGTTCATCTAAAACATTTAATTTGGATCTTCAGGTCAAGATGGTGGCTTAGGCAGACATGGCTTGCCTCCTCCCACAAACAATCAAAATTACAACTAAAATATAGAACAGCCATCACTCAAAACTGTTAGAGATTGAGTTGAATGAAAGTCTGACAACTACGGGATTAAAGAAACCATATCCATCCAGACTGGAAGGAGGGGCGCAGGTGGAATGAGCTGGTCCCACACCCACGTGTCATGAATAAAAATTTGGGAGGGATATCTTGGGAGCAAGGAGTCCCAGCCCCACACCAGGGCCCCAGCCCAGGGTTCTAGTGCCGGAAGGTAAGTCCCCACAACGTCTGGCTGCAAAAACCAGCAGGGATTGAGTCAGTGGAAGAAACTTTTGGAGCCCAAGCAGTTCCTCTTAAAGAACCCACACACAGACTTACTCAGACTCGCGCCCTCAGAGCCCCAGCACCGGGGTAGCAGCTAGAAAGGCACCAGTGGCGTTCAGGAAGGAACTGCAGCGTCTGGCATAAAGGCGAGCAGAGGCCATTGTCCCCTTTCTAAACCCTCCCCCAACAGAGCCGCCAAGCTGGTGTGGTACCTGAGATTCCTTTAACCTGGCTAACACTGTGTGACCCACCTTGGAGATCCCCAGAGACTACGCCCAGTCAATTTACAGGCCCACCCAAGCTGCTTTTCCATATGAATGGCTGGTCTTGGCTAATGCTTCACAACTTCCTAAATTCTATCAGACAAGCACCAGCTGGCTTCAGTGAGCCCCAGGGCTTGCACTAGCAGCAGCCAGCCTGTAGTGGTGTAGTGGTGCCTACACCGGCAGGCACTGTGCAAATGCTCATGCGCCCTCTTGTCATGTCCACAGATGACCTGAACTAACAAGGTCAAGCTCTACCATCATCCTCACGTTCCCCCCCACCCCCCTGACCACTAATATTCGTTATTTCAGTCTCTTACCAGTGACGCCTGATGTCCCAGCAAATGGCATTGTCCACTGCGGTGCTGCAGAGGTACTCCCGAGGTCCCACAGCGACACGGCCAACGCAGGCTCGGCGTGCGCCTTGCTGGGGGGCCCCCCGACGAGCAGGATGCCTCCAGGCAGGTGGTGCGCTGTCCGTCCGGCTCAGGCGCAGGCGTCAAGGGAGCGTGGGCGCCTTCAGGTTGTAAAGAAAGAAGAAGAGGATGAGGGCTACTCCTTGGTGCAGGCTGCTAGGCCCCAGACGCTCAACCGTCCTGGCCAGGAGCTCTTCCGCCAGCTCTTCAGGCAGCTTCGTTACCACGAGTCCTCCGGGCCCCTGGAGACGCTGAGCCGGCTGCGGGAGCTCTGCCGCTGGTGGCTGAGGCCCGACGTTCTCTCCAAGGAGCAGATCCTGGAGCTGCTGGTGCTGGAGCAGTTCCTGAGCATCCTGCCCTGCGAGCTCCGGACCTGGGTGCAGCTGCATCGCCCGGAGAATGGAGGGGAGGCCGCCGCCCTGCTGGAAGAGCTGCAGAGAGAAACCAGCGGGACACTGTGGACAGTAAGTGTGAGCGAGTGCGCAGTGCCCGGCGAGCTCTGCCTGCCCGGGACCCAGCTCGTCTGCGTCTGCGGTGGGCTTGGCCTCTGAGCCTTCAGCGTGAGGGGTGCAGGGGTTGTCTTCCCTTCTAACTCCTGTGGCGCCTGTGCGGCTGAGCAGGCTCTAAGCCAAGGGCTTTTTAGCAGGCAGCCCTTCCCGCCTTCCCAGAGGATGGTCAGCTCTAGGAAGGGGGCCCACAAGTATCCATAAGTAACAGCAGCCCGTTTTTGGACGCAGGGACTTAGAGCGTGCAGAGTCCACGCCGCATATTATCTCACTGGAGCTGATGCTGGCCTGTGCAGTGGGGGTGATGTGTCTTGCTCGCAAGGGGGAGGATTAGCGGCTGGACTCGTGGCTCCTGAGTACCTGTTGAAACCTGGAAGAGCAGTCTAGTGCCATTTTGCTTCTTTCTCAGTAAGCCCTTTGAGGATTTGTTCTGTGAGGGATGAGACTTCCTTCCACAGCCTCAGTGTTCTTGCCCACATTGTTGTCCCTTTCAGAGCCTCAGTTTATTGAAAAGAAAATGCAAAACTGGTCTAACAATGCGAACTTGTTCAGTATGTATTTGAGTGCCCACCATGCCCTTGGCCCTGGCCTGGGTGCTGCCACCGGAGCTGCCAGTCCCAGTGCCGGCAGGAGAGCAGCAGGTCAGTTCAAGTGCGCTCTGCCCCTCCCTCCCCCGCAGCGAGCCTCTTGGTGCCTCCCACCACGTCTTTGGGGGGTTGTGTTTTTTTTTTAAACAGCATTTATCATTTTTGTAGGTGTCTTTAAAATGGTTATTTCTATAAAAATATGTGTAATTCTACATATATGACATATATGATTCATGCATAAATGAGTTACTTTTAAGATTTCTGAAACATATTTCATATATTTCTCCCTCACATTTAATATAAAATTAAGTCAGTCAAATACATCTGAACATGGTCTACCAGCCATAAATGGTAATAAATCAGTACAAGGTATGTTTAATTAGAAAAGAAAACCTCTTTGCTCAACATTGGGTACCATTTTTAAAAGTCTAAAAGAGCAGTTATTATTTTTACAGCAATAATGAGATCAAAAGGACCTAAAAGTGATTTATTAAAGCAAATAAGGCACACAACAGGTATAAAATTGTGGCTTGATTGTATTCTGCTCATTAAGATCTAGATGTAAGGGTTTGCAGTGCGTGAAAACATTGCCAAGTGAGCAGAAAGGCCTGCCTGGCTGCAAGGGAGCAAGAAATGAGAAAATGGAAAACAGGCCGGGAGAAAGCCTCTGGGAGCCGAGACGCTCGCGATGCAGGCGAAGCTGCAGGATCACCCTGCGGTCCCTCCAGAGCGCCCGAGCGGGAGGAGCCGGCGTCTGAGGCAGCTGGGCCTCGGACTCACCGGGCTGCGCTTCTGCGGCCTTAGAGTCTCTCTGTCCTCCCTTTGGTCGGGTTTGGGCGGACTAGGAGGTGACGCTGTGGTGAGTTGGTCGTCATTAGTCTGCCCCTCGGTAGCAGGTGTCTCGCGGCCCCAGCACGCGCTGACAGCTGTGTGAGCGTGGGGAATGCCATGGCCCCAGGACCAGGAGGCTCGCCGTTCACTGGCTGTGGTCTTCTGTACTCATTTTTACACCAGCGGGAGCCTTGCCTCAGACACCAGAACTGTCCGAAGGCCCAGAGCAGAGGGTGCCGCTTCCTGCCTGGGTGGGCATGGCCGGTTTTCTGCACCTGAGACGTTTTCTTCCGTGGGTCCGTGGCTGCCCCTGCATGGTCTCCTCCCTCTTTGTCCGTGTCACTGCCGCGGCCGGGGGTGCGGCCTGGGAGCCGTCCTGCCTCTTTGGGGTCGCTTTTCACATAAGTGTCTAGAACTGCGTGGGCCCTGTCCCTCTGCACCTCTGCTGTGAATCATTCTCAGTTTTACTCTCAGGGATAAATGTCTTTCATTTCAAGTTCCAGTCCAGGGGTGGGGGCTGAGGGCTAGTGGGGCGGGTGTCGCTGCGGCACTTAAGGCCTGACCGCTGGCCAGGTACTTTCTGATGTCGAGCTGGACTCTGGCTGCACCCGTCGCTCCCGTGGCCCCACGAGAGCCCAGGGAGGCTGAGGGGTGCGGGGTTCCCCGGGCTTTCTCCTCTGCCTCCCCCCTCTGCCTGTAGGTAACGGAAGGGCCTGGCTCTCCCTCTCTGAGTTGCTTTCTGATTCCCATGGGGTCCTCTCACATTTTCTTCTCGCCAGGACCCGGCCCCTGCCCAGAGCCCCGACGTGCGCTGGATGGGCACAGGAGCCCTGCGAGCCGCGCAGACGTGGCCCTCCGCGTCACCTCTCGGGAGCGGCTCTGCTCTGGGGGACCACCCGGAGCCTCCCTATGAAATAGGAGTGCGTGACTTCCTGGCTGGGCAATCCGGTACTCACAGCCTGGCCCCAAGACCCCAGCCTCATACCACACTCCCTGAGTCCCGTGGTGCCATCCTTTTACCACCTGTCCTCAGGAAAACCCCCTCCTACCCTGGCCCTTAGCTCTGCGTCTTTTCTACCTCTGCCGTGACCCGTGTCTGCCTGGCCCCTTCTCCTGCTGTGCCCCCTGCTTCTCACTCCCTGGCCTCCAGCGAACACTGGGGACATGTGAAGGGGGCGTCCAACACCAGCTGTGCCTGCACGTGGCCCAGGAGTGCTCCCTTGGGGGAGGGGGGCTTCTCAGTGGCGCCGAGGGCTGGGCTGCCCCCTCATGGTTCTTTCTCCTTCAGATACTCCTGCTGGCCAGGCGCCTGCCCTTTCCCAGAGAGAGGGGTGCCCAGAAGATGGCACCACAGCCCCACCCCAGGTGAGCCACAGGACCCGCCGTCCTTCGTGACGTCCCAGTGTTGCTGCCTGATGGAATGGCAGCAGCTTCCCCATGTCCCGCGTCTCTCTCTCTGGTGACCCCATATCCAGAGACCCGTGTCCCAGAGACCAGGTGTTCCCCGCCAGGCGCAGCGCTCCTCTGCTGGGTGACGGCCCTCTCCTTCGCCCTTAACAGATCCTTCTGGAACTCCCAGAGAGCCGGCCCCACCCCCGCCTCCTCCTGGAGCCGGGAGCTGTGGCCTGGCTGTGAGGTGCAGGGCTGTGTTTTTCAGGAGGCTCTGATTTTCAAGGACGTGGAGGTGACCTTCTCCCAGGATGAGTGGGGGTGGCTGGTCCCTGCCCAGAGGAACCTGTACAGGGACGTGATGCTGGAGACCTATGGGAACCTGGCTTCTCTGGGTAAGGCGCCGCCGGCCGCGCTCCCGCCCACTTGTTCCTGCCTCCTCCGCTTTCATCACGGCGCGTCCGAAGGGGCCTGACCCAGGCCGAGATCCCAGCTCTGATCCGATGGCCAAATCACTTAATCTGTCATCCAGCCTCTTCTCTTCAGAAACGGGAGTAGAGCGCCTGGCTTGCTGGGTTATCGTAAAGGTGGAAAGTCCTGTGTGGCACAAGTGCATCCAAAACACGTCCACAGGTTTCACTGATGGAATCGTCAGGTGGTTCCCTCCTCCAGGGGATCCTGGTGCCCCTTTTGGCTGTGACTTCTCTCAGCCTCTCTTGTCGCTGCTCAGTGCTGTTGGAAGTGGCTGTCTGGGCCCCCTGCCTGCCTCAGCCTTCCCCCGCCGAGCCCCAGGCCCGAAAGGGCGCTGGGGAGCAGTTCTGCGTGACTCATCTGCCCTCCCCGCGCCCCCCCCCCCCGCCCTCTCCTCCTGCAGTGGGGCCGCTCACCAAACCCGCTCTGATCTCCTGGTTGGAGGCGAGGGAGCCGTGGGGCCTGAACGTCCAGGGAGCTCAGCCCAAGGGCAGTCCGGGCGCTGCCCCTGCAGGTGAGTTCCAGAGAACCTTCCAGGTCCTGCTCCTCTGGCACCTGCCTTCTCTTTCTTAAGGTCTTTCGCACCAGGTAAATCACGGGGAACTGAGGCCACTGCTGGCCGGAAGGAGGATCCTTATTAGTATTGCTAAGGGTGCCAGGCCCCGGGCCCTTCCCTCCGGGCTGGCCTGTTGACTAGACGTGTGTCTGGCCCGGCTCCTTCCCCAGAAGCCTTTTCAGCAACATTCTTGCCCATGGGAGAGCCTTACTGTGCCTCCTCTTTTCCATTCACTCACACTTCTCAGGCCTGTGCTGTGCCCTTGCTGAACCCCAGTGCCTGCTCCTTCCTGCTCTTAGGAACCCCCCTTCCTCTCCTGCTCCCGTTCTCCTGCCCTTTCAGTCCACCCTGCTTGGAGCCTCACCCCGGCCCTGTCTTGTGCTGTGGTCCTTCCCCCTCTCACTACTTCATGCAGCCTCTCTGCCCGTTTTCTTTAACTGCATGTGATTTCTGCAGATGCCTCGCTGCTGTGCCCTTCTTCCTTCTCCTCCCCTCTCCCCTGCCATCTGGGACACCCTTCCATGCTTTGCCTTGTCCCTGGCTGTTTTGTAAAGGTGTCAGCAGTCAGGCAAAAGCCACACCACCTAAGTCCATGGCACTTTTTTTAAAAAAGATTTTATTTATTTTTAGACAGAGGAGAAAGGAGGAAGAAAGAGAAACATCAATGTGTGGTTGCTTCTCTTGTGCCCCCTACTGGGGACCTGGCCCGCAACCCAGGCCTGTGCCCTGACTGGGAATTGAACCTGTGACCCTTTGGTTCAAAGGCTAGCTCTCAATCCACTGAGCCACACCAGTCAGGGGCCACTCTTTTGTCCCCAGGTGCTTTTGGCAGCTGCAAGGATGGGAGAAGAGTACATTCTCTTGTGTTTTATTTTGTGTCAGGAGGTGAGCTCCAGATTAAAACAAACAAGCTCATCTTAAATCATGAGCCTTTGGAAGAAGCAGAAACTTTAGCTGTGTCTTCAGGATGTCGTGTGATGAGGGTTTCCGAGGAAACAGGGCCTGGAGAACCTTTGGAGCCGAAGAGCAGCTTGCAGGAGCAGGGTGGCGATCCCGCACAAGTGAGTGTTCAGAAAGAAGAGACCAGCTTCAGTCACAAGACAGAAGAAGAATCGGGAGAATCAGGAGGCGGCGACAGCCTCAGCCTCAAACATGTTGCGTATTTACGGGTTCCCAGGAGAAAGCGAGCCCTGAAGCGTGGCTGCGGCCGACACTTCCGAGGGGTCCCGTACCACCACGACTACAAGGAGTACGGGAAGGGCCTCAGGCGCCTGATCAGCGGGTTTGGCCTGCGTCAGAGACTTCACGCTGCGCTAAAGGGGACTGTGAAGGACGCGCACGGGAAGGACTTCATCAGCTCTCATCACCAGCGGAATCTTCACGTGGCGGGGACATTGTACAAGTGCAGTGACTGTGGCAGGACCTTCAGTCACAGCTCCCACCTTGCACACCACCAGAGACTCCACACTCAGGAGAGACCGTTTAAGTGTCGGGTGTGTGGGAAGGCCTTCAGGTGGAGCTCAAACCGTGCGCGGCACGAGAGAATCCACACTGGACTGAAACCTTACAAGTGCGGCTTATGTGACAAAGCTTTCCAGCGCATGTTTGCCTACCATCTGCACCAGGAGACCCACGCTAATCAGAAATTTCTTGAATCTTCTGAGTGTAAGGAAGTTCTCGCGTACGGCTCAAGGTTGGATCATTTGCAGGACCAGAGTGGGGAGAACATCTTCGACTGCAGCCAGTGCAGGAAATCCTTCCACTGCAAATCGTATATCCTTCAGCATCAAAGGATCCACACCCAGGAGAAGCCCTATAAATGTACCAAATGCAGGAAAACCTTTAGGTGGCGGTCTAACTTTTCTCGCCATAAGAGGATGCACCAGGAAGAAAAGCTCTGTAATCAAGATAAATGTCAAGAAGACTCCAGGGAGACCCCCAGCTGCAGCCAGCCCCAGGGCGCGCCCGCCGTGGGGAAGGCCTTCCTGTGCCAGCAGTGCGGGAAAGCGTTCCCTGGGAAGAAATCCCTCCTTAACCATCAGAGGGTCCACACGGGCGAGGTGCCGTACCGGCACAGCGAGTGTGCAAGAGAGTTCGCCCACAGGCCGGCCTTCATTGTGCACAAGAAGCAGCGTGCCCTGAAGAGGAAAGCCGAGGCCGGGCCCTCTCCCAGCCCGGGCGGGGGGCTCCCGGGCACCCCAAGCGGCCAGGTGTCGGAGGGGCGCTTCACGTGCAGCCACTGCAGCAAAGCCTTCCGCAACCACTCGTTCCTCCTCATCCACCAGCGAGTCCACACCCGCGAGAAGCCGTACAAGTGCAGGGAGTGTGGGAAGGCCTTCCGCTGGAGCTCCAACCTCTCCCGCCACCAGCGGAGCCACTCTCTGGGGAAACTGTACGTGTACCATGAGAACGAGAGCGCCCCTGACCTGCGGCCACAGGTCCTCACCGGCGAGAAACCTTTCTGGTGCCAGGAATGTGGGAAAACCTTCACCCGCAAAAGGAGCCTCCTGGACCACAAGGGGATCCACAGCGGGGAGAAGCGCTACAAATGTAACTTGTGCGAGAAATCGTATGACAGGAACTACCGCCTGGTGAATCACCAGAGGATCCACACTAAGGAGAAGCCTTTCAAGTGCCAGTGGTGCGGGAAGGACTTCATCGGACGGCACACCCTCTGCATCCACCAGAGAAGACACGCCAGGGCGGCGCTGCCCGACAGCAGCCCCGCGGAATCGCCTCCCTCCCGGGACTCGGGGGTCACTTTGCAGGAGTTGAAACCGAGCGGGGAGACGCCCGCGGAAGCCGGCGAGGAAGCTTGTGAGAGGAGTGCCAGGCCCGCCGGGCTTCAGAACGTACCCGTGGGGAAGAAGTGTCACAAGTGCAGCACGTGCGGGAAGACCTTCAGCAAGACCTCCCAGCTCATTAGCCACAAGAGGTTCCACACCCGGGAGAGGCCCTTCAAGTGCTCGGCGTGCGGGAAGACCTTCCGGTGGTCTTCCAACCTGGCCCGGCACATGAAGAGGCACACCGGCGACTAGCTGGGGCCGGGCTGTGGAGGGAGAGGGATCCCGGCCGCCCCTCAGAGGGGCCGCAGCTGTGGGCGGTGCAGGCGCGACCTTCACAGAGCGCCTGGCCCTTGCTGTTTCAGAAGCGAGTCGCGCAGCCTCCTCAGTGGTCAAGAACTCAGGGCGGCTGCCGTCCTACCCGCTGGGCAGTGATTCTCCTTGGTGACCTCCTGGAGACTGGGACGCTCGGAGTGGCCATTGTTCAGTGGCCTGGAGCTCCCTCAGCCAGGTCTTCCTCTGTAACTCCAAAGGGAGTGGCCTTTTGGTTTGATACAGTGTCTGTGGCACGGTGGGCTGCGGCAGCTGGGAAGGGGCCAGTTGGATCCTAGGTTGCCCTCTGAGGTTGGCCTGTTGTTATGGTGCCTGTTCTGTGCGACCTTGTCAGCAGCAGCGCGAACTCCTCCGAGCCTCCCAGGTGCCCCTGGGGAGTTCCGCCTGCGGCCTCGGCCGCACAGCCAGCGTTGGATGTCTGCTGTGAGCGGCACGCGAGGAGGGCAGGGTCCGGCTTCGTCCCTGGAGAAGGGAGGGCGCCCGTGCCGTGCCTCGTCACCACCTCCATCCCACAGGCGGGCATGGGCAGCGGTGTGCCGAGCTCCTCCCACGTGCCAGACGCTGTTGTGTGGGCGAGACCCAGCAGGGACCAGGACAGACAAAAAAAAGCTGTTGTCTCTGATCTTTACAGACGATAAACATGTGAGGTACATAGAGTGTTTTAGTTGGGATGTGTGTTGTGGACACATGAATCAGAAGAGGGCGAGGGTGTGCTGGCTGGCGAGGTGGGTTGCGATTTTAAATAGGCTGCTCACGAAGGGCCTCATCCAAGAAGGTGGAATTGGGACAAAGACGCAAGGGAGGTCAGAAAGAGAGAGCCCTGTAGGCCTTAGAACCAGGCGTGGAAAGTGGGCGCTTGGCTGGTGTCCTCAGGGCAAGAGAGGAGGCTCCTGCGCCCGGGTGGAGTGAGCTGGCTGGGGCAGCGGGGCCCGGGGAGGCACTGGGCCAAGGCTTGTGAGCATTGGGTGCTCTAGGTCAGTTTGAGTTGAGCGACGTGCTCTGCATGTGAGTTACGTTTTACAAGAGGTAACCACAGACCCAGGGACTGAGTAAAACAATAGCTGAAAATTTTCATGCAGTTACCCCTGCTGCCAGTTTCCCTAAGTGGACTCCTTGCCCCGCCAAGTGTCTGAGTGTCAGCCAGACCCGCGGCTCTCAGCAGACGGGAGCCGCCGTGGGGCTGCGGCTCTGACCTCTGCTCGCTGTCTTGCCTGCCCCCCGCCCCCCGCCCCGCGCAGCGTCACGCCCAGGCCATCGTGCTGCCCCGCTTCCCCCCCCCCCCCGCCCCCAGCCTCTTCTCTCAGCCGTCTCCCCGCCCCGCCTCGTACCTGTGTTTTCTGCGTTTGCAAATGTCACCCCCACCCCCGACCCCACAGCCAGAGCGAGGCCAGCATTGGGTGCTTGTTGATCCGGTTGCTGCGCAGAGGAGATTTCGCACATAGTTGCCTCTGCTAAGGATGAGGAGCTGAATGTAGTTCAGCCAAGTCATGGCTGGAGGTTTTTGAAAGGGCCCTCCCTTGAGTGACATGTTGGGGAGAGGCTGCCCACGCGTGCACTTGTGCTGGTTGGGAGCCCAGCTCTGTGTGGTCGGAGCCATGGGGCGCCAGTGGACAGCTTTGGATGGCCCCAGCCGCAGCTCCCGCCTTGCACTCCACTCTGGCCTGGAGGACAGCCCTGTTCCCAACCCTGCCCCGCCTTCTCTCACTCCCAGGAGGAACTGAAGCTGGGGCTGAAGAGCCAGCTGGCTGGGCCTCTACCGGGCGCCGCGGGCATCACAAGGTCTCCCAGTCAGCCGTTCGGTGCGGTCAGTGGAGACCAGCAGCCCAGACCGAGCTGCGTGCAGGGGAGGAAGCACAGGAAATGTAAATTCACATGGACCACTTCACTCTCATCAACCTGGCAGATTTTTTAAAGCCCTAGTGTGGGTGTGGGGACCAGTGAGAACTCGCTGCTGTGGGAGTAGAGATGGCGACAACTTTGTGAGAAGGAATTTGCAAAATCTTGTAAAGCTGTGTGCACTATAAGCCAGTGACTCTGCTCCTGGACAAACCACAGAGTAGCTCCACGTGAAGAGATGCGCGTCAGACTGGGCGGAGATTGCACGGCTGTTCGTTGCAGTATTGTTGAGATAGCACGACTGGGGAAGGCCTCAATTTCCATCTGCAGGAGAACAGAGAAGGGGGTTGTTTCTGCTGCTTTAGGAGGTGAATATGAAAGAGCTAGAGGTACATCTTTCACAGATGAACCAAAAGTGATGCTGAGAAAGTGGCAGAAGTTACAAGTACCATTTCTGTAAAGTTAAACGCTGTGTATCTGTGGGTACATTACTTAAACTTCTTTGTGTTTTGCTTTTTCTCTAAAATGAAATAGTAGAGCCAGCCTCACAGGGTGATTGGGGGTGGAAGGGTGGCTAATGAAATAATGTATGTAAAGCGATTAGACTAGTGGCCGGCATGTAAGCATTGTCGGCATATAGTAAACTGTGTTGTTACTGTTTTGCGCAATAATGTATTTCCTGTGGATTCAAATTATATGACGTCAGAGCATAAAATCATGCATTGGAATGATGAGTGGAATTCCTGCCCTGCTGCCGATGCAGTGGGGGAGGGTACCTGGAGGCTGCAGTTGTGTTATGTTTCTTTTTTGAAGTAGATGCAGATGGTTCAGCATGTTAACAGCATTGTGCAGTGGGTTCTTTTTTATTATTTTTTTAACTGTTTGCTTTAAATACTTAAAAATAAAAACTTTTTAAAGCATGGGCTCTGCCATCTTCCAATTGTATAGAAACCCTAGTTCTGCCCTTTATGTGATATGACTTAGAATGAGTCACTTAATCTCTCCAGGTTTCAGGTTCCTCACCTACAAAAATCGGGAGCAACACAAGTGGCTCTTGGGAAGGGAATGGTTAAGCAGGTCTGATACATCTAGAGGGAATATCATGCAACTTAAAAATGATATTCTCCACGTACCAACGTGTGCTCTCCAAGATGTGCAGTTCATAGGAAATTATAAACTTTTCCTCATTCCTCCTTGCCTGGTAACAACAAGTAAAGCCGGAAGCTACAGACTTGTAAGTTTTAGTGATGAAAGGGGCTCTGTGGATGGAGATGCTTAGTCACTCATTTTGCCTTGTCAGGTAGACGAGGAAAGGTTCACATACCAACTACCACAGCTTTTAACTTATTCCACTCTGCTAAGAGGAGTAAAGAGGTTTTGTATCAACCAGGTTCCTCGTCAGGAGCCAGAAGCCATACCGATTATTTTAATGGAAAGTGTATAAAGAACTGTTCACGAGGTGTAAGTAAGTAAAAAGGCAAGCAGGGAAGGTGAAGGTATTGGGGTGGGAGAGACTGCGAGGGGCAGCTGCCACCCCGGTGCTGGGTGAGTGTGTGGTAAGAGTCTGACCCATGTTCGATGTTGACCACTTCCAAGCCCTGTTCCTCACACCTGGGCAAGCCGATAGGAAGCCAGGTAGGTGCTCCGTCTCCACTCCAGAGGGGGCCTTCTGCAAAGCCCGAAACCCCTCCCTAAACCGCAGTGAAGACCAGAGCCGCTCACCCCTCCTTTCAGCTAAGGCAAACTGTGGTACAGGTGCCTGTCCCTCCCCCAGAGGGCCTCGATATATGAGTCACTTTTCTGTAACCACTTGATGTGTGTGATGTCACTAGTCTTCACATCTGTACCAGTTTGGGGTGGTGATAGAGGATTCATCCCACCTCTACGGTGCAAGCTACAGAGCAAGGACAGAGAAGGGGTTAGAATGGTTCAAAGGTGGGACACTGGGAGGGCACCCCCGTGGACACAGACCTGTGAGGGGAGGGCACCGCGGGGCTGGTGCTGGAGTCTGGACTTGGGGGCGGCGCGTTGGCCAGTCTGCAGGCTGGACTCGTGCTGCTGCCAGAAGAAGTTGCCCTGCTGGGGTGAAGGAGCCTTGGGGACAGGAAGTAACACAAGAAACAGGACGGGTGGAGGCCCCTCTCCCTCATACTGGCATTCTCCGCAGAAACACTCAATGGGATATACATGTTTAAAGAGATTTATTATGAGGAATTGGCTTGTGGTTGTAGCAACATCTGCAGGGTTGGCCTGCAGGCTGGAGACGCAGGAGAGCCCACGTTCCCCGTCTGCGGGGGAGTCTCTCTTGCCTGGGGAGGGCCAGTTTTTTTGTTCTAGCCAAGCCTTCTACTGATTGGGTGAGGCCCACCTGGATTAGAGAGAGTAATCTTTACTCACAGTCCACTAGTTTAAACGTTAATCTCATCTAAAAAAAATCCTCACAGGAAAAAAATAAATAATTGACCGAGGAGCTGGGCACCCCATGTGTTGGGACATGCAGAGCCGGGGGAAGGCTCTGAGACCGAAAACCTGCCTCCGTTGGTGGGGGGCAGGGAAAGAACAAAGAAAGGGGCCACCACGGTGTGGTAACTGGTCAGGTTTATTATTAAGGCAAACTTGCATTTAAAGCACGTTTTGGGCAATTGCAAGATGAGCCCCTACACTGCTTGGTTGGCGCCAGAAAATTATAAAAAGCAAGAAGGAGGAAGGAGAGGGAGTAGTCATTTGTACTAGTATGTGACCGTCTCCAAGTGTGGGAAGCTGAGGCCTTATTGACCAGGTCATGACAACTGGAATGTTCTCCAGACTCGGCATGTTCGGGGAGGGGGGGCGGCGGGGGGTGCGTGGGGAGGCGGTGCTGGCTGAAGTCAGGCAGCCCCCCTGCGGGTGTATGGCCAAGGTCCCGCTTGCGGGTCAAGCTGGTATCACAGCGTCTCCTCCACACCTTGGCCCGGGCAAGCCGACGCAAAATTCATCGTCACGCTCCAGCGCTGCAGCGCCTCGGGGTCCTCGATGGCAGTGCCACCCGGGAGCGAGCCAGCAGAGCGGAGGCGCGCGTCTCAGAGCTCCCGCCCATCTCTGGCACCCACTGGGGGGCGTACATTTCAGCTCCGCAGAGAAGCCGGAGATAGTATGGGAGGATCTACTGTCCTTGTGGGTGGGGGTTTGTGCTGGGGCTTCATTCACCCGCAGAAACGGAGGTGGAGCCCTGCCGCTGACTTCTAGACATCTACAGGACCGGGGAGAGAACCCGGAGAGTTCTCCATCCACCCCTCACCCAGCACGGGTTCCGAGAAACCCCGTGGTTCGTGGGCGTCAATGAACTGACCAACCCGGGCCCCACCCGGGAACATCAGCTTTCCCAGGAACATGAGCGACCTAATGAGCTATCGCAAGTTAATTTTCAGTAAGAACCCCCTGGACATCTCCAAGCCGTCCACCCCCGATTCGCTGTGAACTTCGGGGTTGTTTTTTTTATAGGCGTGACGTGAGGACGCTTCCCGGTGACCTCCGGCAGCCTTTGTCGTCCGGGTGAGGGTAGGTTTCGGGGTTTGGCACAGGGTGGAAGGTGGGTCCGATGGAGCAGCCCCGAGGAGCGCGTGTGCTCCAGGCCATGTTCAGTGGGCGGGAGGAAGGGAGGCTGTGAAGGGAAGAAGGGCGGGGAGGAGCGGCAGAGGGCCCACCGGCCCCTCTCCCCCGCTTCCTGCCTTTCATCCTCTGACAGCGGCACCTGGCCTTTATGACGTCAAAGACCCTGGCCAATCACTGTGCCCACTCCTGGCTGTCACCGTGGGCCTGCCAAGGCAATTAGTGGGCAAAAGCACCTTCCACATCGCTATAAATGTCTCTTGGCTTATCCAGTCGCCATGTCTGGGGGAGGGCAATGATCTTAGTCATGTGAACTTTAACTTCTGGGGAAAGAAATTTTTAATTTTCCGAAGTGGTCACTCTTTTAAGGGCGAATTTACTTCTGGGATATCATTTAAAAATATGAACAAATAAAATTAGGCCAGAGCTATCCAAGTCACTAAGAGCTCGCCGAAAGCACTGAGTTAACAGAATAACTGGGTTACCAAAAGGAACGTCTGCTGATTTGGGCGTAAGAAAGCCAGCTTCCATGAGGGCCCGTGTTGGTCTCCAGCTGCTGGCGCCGGCCGGTTCGGTTCGAAGGGTGGGCGCAGGCCCCCCTCAGAGTGAGAGGACGCGCAGGGAGCAGGTGCTCCGTCGGAAAGAGGCAGCGTTTTAGGCGGGAGAGACCCCTGAGCAGTGGCCGTGTGTCACTGGTCGTGACACCGAGGGACTCGTCTCGGCGCCTGTGAAATGCCAGTCATCATCAGTCGAGTGTCCAAGACAAAGCCCCTAGAGAGCATTTTTCTAGAGTCTGGAGCACTCACGGCCGGCTGAGCTTCCAGGGTCGGGGGGGCGGGACGAGGTGGTCATTCCCGGAGACCTGCCCTCCTGTGGACGGAGAGGAAGGTGCTGGGGGAGGGGGCCTAGGCAAGTCGCAAGGAGCGCCGAGCAGAGCCACGGGGGGCTGGACAGAGGGCTTAGCTCCGCGGCAGTGGCCTTGTGCTGGGGCCCGGGAAGATGCCAGGCCGCCGCTGCCAGTGGGGAGGCAGCGGGCGGCCAGCAGGGGGCGCAGCGGAGACCGCGCGCCGCTCGGGGGCCGCCGTGCCGCCGTCAGCCCCACGTCGGGGGGCAGCGGTGGGCGGGTGAGGACGGGGAGAGCCTGGCTGGGCGGCCTGCGGCCAGTCCAGGAGAACGGCCTTTGCACGATGGGCCCAGCGCCGTGACGCCCGGCCGCTGCTGGGCCCCTGGAGGGGCGAGGCGGCCCGGCGAGAAGCGCGTCCGTGAGACGTTCCCACCCCAAGAGCCCCTGGCGTCGCGGTGCTGACAGCGGCCCAGCTCTGCCGGAGGAGGGCGGCCCCCCAGCCCAGAGAGCCTGTCCTAGATAGAGCGGGTGCTGCCTGGGCAGCCACGCGGCCGGACTGGCCGCTCGAGCCGCGGGAAGGGGAGGCCGACGGCAGGGACAGGCAGGGGCTGCCGGGCCCTGTGGCGGCGGGGCCTGCGGGGGGTAGGGGACTGTGGCTGTAGGGGACAGGGCGGGAGACGCTTTACACAATAAAGGCCAGGTTGCCAGGAGCCGCCTCTCCGCGCCCCTCCCCCTTAAGGACCCCTTGCCTCTGAAGCTCCCTCCGGTGACCCCCCCTCCATCCGGCCCCCCACCTCCCTAGGCCTTGCAGACAGGTGAGCTGCTAACCCTTCCTGCTTTTCCGGCCCCGGCTCCCTGCTGCCTGCTGAGCCCACTGAGCCCTTGCTATCAGCGCCCTGATTCTGCGCGTCCCTGGAGGATGGGCTGACTTGCCACCGCCTCGTGGACCACCGGGGGGAGGGGCGTGGCGGGCAAACCCTCTGCCTCCGAGGGCAGGTCGGAGTCGCGTAGGACTAGGGTGCCAGGACCTTGAGGGGCGGGTTGACTTGGTGGGTGGTTTGGGTAGTGGGCCTGGCCATTTTTCAGGCGTGGCAGTCACTGTCCATTCTAAGGAAAGCGAAGCAGCTATCGAGCGTGACAGAAAGCTGGGCAAGTCCCCCAGACCTGCTAATTGGTCCACAGCAAAGGCGGGCGGCCCCTGAGCTTTGCAGTGGGCCTGGCCCGGGTCCTGTAAAAGTGTGTTTCCTGTTGCAACTCCCGACGGCACACTTGGCTGCTTGGGACGAGAGCCACTCACCTCCTGGGCTGTGGGCCCTGCGTCCAGGGAGCGTGGCTTGGGTGCTCTGCCTGGGGCCTCGCAAGGCCCGAATAACGCCTTGTCCACCCCAAGCTCTTGTCCGGAGGCTCCAGGGAAAGCCCACCCCCAGGCTCATGCATTTTGTTGACAGAGTTTATTTCCTCCTTGCCGCTTGCCCTTGGCCCCGGCCATCATGCCGGCAACAGGAGGCGCGTCCTCACGCCCAGAATCCCTCTCACTCCTTTGCGGTGTCCCTGGGACCCCAGCCGGAGAGTGCTCTCGGTCCCCACGGCTTCAGTGCCTAGATTGGGGCACTTGGATAATACAGGCTCGCGTCCGTAGTCTAAGATTTGTGATTTTAATCACAGCTTTGCCATGAATGAAACATAATCCCAGCTTCCGAGGACGAGGACGAGGGCACGGCCATCTCTGGAGGGCCATTGTGCTGGCCACACATGGTCATAGTTTTGTAAAATTTACAAGGTTTTTTTTTTTTTTTTGGTAAGAAGATCAGCATTCTCCATTCTCCTCTCAATCGAAGAAAGGCTTTTCCCAGCTGTAGTTCATTAACACTGTTGCTTCCTTTACAAAATGAGTTTAAGGAGTGGCAGCCAGTATTTGCTTAATGGATATAGCAGAATTGAATTGCATAGAAAATTGCATAGGACATGTTGCACATAACCATTTATGTTCCATGAAATTATTAGTACACACACACACACCCTGCAGAATTAGGTCCAGGTGTCAAGTATACTTCTTAGTGTACTTGGTTCAGATTTAAGAATCTGAAAAGACGCTAAGACCCTAGAATGTATCTGGAGCCTCCAGTTAGGCATGTGCCTGGTCCTGGGAAGAATTTTTTAAAAATTAATTTATTGATTTTTTTTTTTTTAGAGAGTGAGAGACAGACAGAGGGGAAGGTGGAGGGAGGGGAGAAAGCCAGCCAGCCAGACATCAACTTGTTCCACTTATTTATGCATTGACTGGTTTTTAGTATGTGCCCTGACCGGGGATCAAACCCACAACCTTAACATATCCAGACAAGCTCAAACTCACCAAACCCAGCCATCTCCACCCCGCCCCGCCCGCCAGGGCCTCTGGAAAGACTTCTGGAGCATCCGGGAGGGGTCTCCCTGGCAGAGCCTGAGCACACGCGGTTGACAGAAGCCCAGAGGCTGGCGGCTCCCTTCCCGGGGGTGGGGGGTAGTGTAGGTAGAGCCGCTGAAGGTGCACTTGTGCTGCTCAGTCCTCTCTCTTGCAGCTATGTCTGCGAGTCACTTTGAACAGCGGAAGAAACCTCTCAGTACGTTTTTCTGGGTAAATGAGGTAACTGGAGAAGTCACCTACCCACCACTGCCGGCAGACGTGCCTGCAGTTCCCCTTGAGGAGCCCCAGGAGAGCCTCAGCGTGGGAGCGCGCAGCGGGCTCCTCCAGGGCCTGGCCAGCCCTCCCGCGCTGTGGGCTGACTCTCTGTCCCCACCGCCAGCCTCACTGAGATACAGAGGCTCAAGGAACTCCCTCCCCCCCGCGCTGACCCACTACCACCTGGGTGAAGCTGCAGCCAGGAGCCCCCCGCCCGTCTCCGCAACCCCTGTCACCGTCTCGCTGCCAGGAGGTGCTCCGCCAACATCAGGCCCCTGTGGATCAGCCCCTCTGCCACTGGCCTCTACCTTTCCTTCCTGCCCTTCTGTCCTCTGGGCCTACACCTGCAAGCTGAAAAATGTCCTTACTGGGAATAACTGATTTTCCTTTTGAGCTGGAGAGTATTTGCCTGGCGATGTGCGTTAAGTGCCTTTCTGAGCCCGAGCAGCTTGTCGCCTGTACACCTGCGTGTCTGCCTCCCCTAGACACTGGCCCACAGGCTCTCCCCTGCATTCCTACAGCAATGTGCCAAATGCTTCCGAACTCAATATAAATTTAGATGGTGACACACAACGTTTTAATACTTCTTTTGCTTCCCAAGCCTATTTGGTATATTACTCTGAACTCTTCAGGGTTTGATAATTCGGCTCTGATGTTGGCGTCATGGCAGCACGTTTGGCTCCCTGCCAGGGTCCGAAGGGAGCCTCCATGTTTGAGACAGAACAAGCCCAAGCCCAGGCTGCTGCCTGTGCTTCTGACCCACCAGGCACAGGGTGGTGGGTCACATGCCCTCCTCCTCGGGTTCGATAAGTTTGCTAGAGTGGCTCACAGAACTCCGAAACGTTTTACTTAGGAGACGCCTGGTTTATGTAAAAGCACAGGACCCAGGAGCGGCAGACGGAGGAGAGGCACAGGGCGAGGTCCAGGAAGGGGCTTCGGAGCTGCCAGGGTGCCAGCGCTCCACACTGGAGCACAGCCCTCTGGGGCCCTCGGGGTCCTAAAAGCCCCCATGGCCTCCAGGCTGCCTTCCTGCCCATTGCATCACGTGGCTTCACAGTGCCCGCCCTCGTGTAAGCTGAGTGGCCTTCACCTGCCAGTTTGTACCTACGCCCATCCACACTGCAAGGCCCCAGCCATGCAGGTAACAGGACCGTGGGGTCTCTTCCCTCCGGAACACACGGGCTGTGCTACCAGGGAGAAGCGTGTCCCAAAGCCCACGCACTTTGCTTTGGGGGAGGTGGGCTGCTACCTCAGCACCCAGGCTGTGTGCAGTAACTTGTTTTTTAAACGAGTGAGCGGTTTGCTGCAGGACTCAGCAGGCTGGAGCACCGGGCCTCCAGCGGGGCGTAGCCTGGAGCCAGCCTGGCCTCTTGTCCTTGGCTTGGGCTTGGTGCATCGGCCTGGGTCCCAGCAGAAGACAGAAACCACGTGACAATTTAAATGGGAGGCTTAATATAAAAGCTGGTAAAGTTGATCAAGGAATGGTTATAGGAGGGAGTAACACTATCATACTCCAGGGCTGAGCGCAAGCCCCCTGGGAAGGAAAGGCTTGGAGGGGGTCGTCCTCTCTGGAGGACTGGTGTTCAGGCCTTAGCGCAAAAGGTGTGGCTGTGTCCCCTGTATGGCAGGTAGTTGCCACAGCCATCGCTCTCCAGTCACTGGGTAAGCAGGAAGCCACCCCTGGGGGCACAAGTAGGGGGCAGGCAGGTCAGTGGGGGGCGGGGCCTGTGGGCAGCACTGGAGTCAGGGTGCAGGTGTGGCAGGAGGCCCAGACCCGGCCAGGGTCACGTGTTCTGGGCCGGTGGCTGGAGTGGGTTTCCGCCGGATGCCGTTGCACCCACCCTTGTGGCCAAAACAGAGCTGCTTCGGACCAGCATGGGGGCCCTTTCTCCCACAGGGCCCCTCCAGCGCCCTCTCCCGAGAGAAAACGTGCCCTGGCGCTCCCCGTTAGAGCCGGTGGGGAGGACTGGCCTGGAGCTCGAGCCTCTCCAGAGCTTTGTGGTTCTTTGTGGTTCTTTGTGGTTCGCGGGCCTTCAGGGCTGGGGCAGGATTTTACGTTAGATTGGGAGAGGAAGTCAAACAGGCGTGCACAGGCCACCAAATCCCTATCATGTTGAAATAGCTGTGAAACTATTAACTGAATAAAAAGAGAAAACAATGATCTGATTGATATATTATTTATTATGTAACAATTAGTTCTGAGACAAAGTCCATTTCAAAACGTATTACTGAGGATCCTGTATTAGTTGATTTTAGAAAATGGCATAATCCAAACATATTTTTCCTTTACATTTTCTTATGTAACCTTTAAGGAATTTTTCCCTCCCATCATCTGGCTCTGGAAACATTTGTTACATCAGAAAAAAATGTGAAGTACAGCTATTAGGCACACAGGTTAAAAGGGATGATATGCACACACACACACACACTCTGCGATTACAAATCAACGTTTCTTTTGAACATACAAAGTTTAAATAACCAGTGTCTTAGATTAATTTAAAACATACTTCAAGAATGCTTTTAAACATTTTTCCTCTCTAATGCACTGTGGAAGAAGCTCCTGTCTCATTTTGTCAGCACTAAGAGCCACGAAAATGGTATCCCAAATTAGGACTCAGCTTGCCCTCTTGAGAAACAAGCTGAAGGGGTTCTGGGTCTGGTTAAAAATACTCGACGAGAATACCCGCAGAGAGGGTGTCACAGAGGGAGAGGTGTCGCTGGCCAGGCCACACCACGCCCCTTGGGGACGGGCCGTGCTGTGACCACAGGGAAGCCCACACAGCTGGGGACCGGGGTGGCTGGGAGGGTTTAACCACAATCCAGACAGGGAGACAGGTTGAGAGGGGTGAGGGAAATCCTGAACGGCTGGAACCGTGCTGCCCTGGGCCCTACTTTGCTGGACTCTTTGGGAAACAAGAATTTTTCTGGACAGCATTTTTCACGCCAACAGAGTCACCTCATTAAATGATTCTGAAAAATTCAGTGTCTGTTGTTTCATGCGACAGCTACACTATTCCAATGGGAAGGAAAATGTATGGGTTGAAAACTAAATTCTCTGTCACTGAAGGTGTTTTAACAAACTGGTCTCTGACCGCTATGACAAGGTCAATGCCGTACCTCTACTGAGTTGCTTTCTTCCTTCTATTCTCTCTGTTAGGCAAACCCGGTGATCTAGTTTTTGCTACCCGTCAGTCTTCTGTGTTGGACATGGGCTGTCCATGCTGGCTGCAAAATACATGTGTGTACTCATGCATGAGACGTGACTATGAGGTTCCCTGTGGAATTGGATTACATACTTACCCACATTCACTCATATAAAAATATACATCTGTGACTCTGTAACCCCTCACTTACATACCACAAATATATTCTTTTGTCCAAACATCTTTTTTTCCTAGTCTTGCCAATCATATAAGACTGGGAGTAAAACCCTTTAAAAACAAGTTTCCCAGCTGAAATTAATTTTTTAAAAAAGGTCTACTTTTAAAGCAGCAGTTAGAAATTTTGTTCTTGGAGTAGGTAAATAATACTGTTATAGCAAATTGTGGATTTAAATAAGTTTAATTTAACAGTTTCATATTTTTTAAAAAATAATACAGATTTCTGGGTTATTTGATGGCTTCCCCATTTTTCCAGTTCCAAGGGATGCAGAGGTCGCCGTCCTGCATGACGGAGTAGAAGTGGGAGACGCAGAGGTGCATCCCCCGCAGGCGGGGCAGCGTCTGGCCCAGGAGTCTCTTGCAGCAATCCACCATCTGGGTGCTTGACACGCTGGGCTCCTTATAGAACTTCTCCAGGGAGAACTTCCTCGTTGACGCCTGTATCAATTCATTTTCAATAACCTTCAACCTGTTACATTGAAAATAAAAATAATATTACCACATGCACATCAAAGAACAAAATGTAAGGACATTTTTAGGTATGGGGGCTATACCTAAAAATGTTTCTACTCGCAACACTGAAAATGGCGTCTCCAACAGCCAGATGATATGCTTTTCGAAGACATGCCTGAGGTTATCATGCAGTACCTGTCACTTCCACACATATTTCTGAAAGTTTTTTTCAATCTTTATAGTAGTAATGGGGATTTGAAAGCTCCCGTCCTGCCGCACGGAGCAGCTGTGAGCCACTGAAGCCCGCAGAGCAGGGAGTGGGCACCACGCCCGAGTCTGGCCCTTGAGTGGTGATGACTTCCAGAGGTACCCGAGGAGGTGGCAGGCTCACGGTCACCCCGCACCCAGGCCAGGCCAGGCCCTCCTCACTCTCCCTCTGTGAGGCCCACCCCTCCCCTTTGCCGGAGGCTACAATGTGTCTGTTCCGACGAGGGCTTGAACCCCGGCCAGGAGAGTGAATAGCTCAAGGCGGGAGCCCAGTCTGCCCACAGGCGCGGGCAGATGGCCGCGGGAGGCCCGCGGCGGAGGGCGCATGGAGCCCAGCTGCCATTGTCAGTGCTCCTGAACTGGTCTAATTTAAGTCCTGCGCTGGTTAGAAAGCCCCAAACGTCCTTTTACCCAATCTTAAACTCTGATAAAAGAGAAGTGCCAGTGTGCTAAAATAGCCATAAGCTAGGAAATGTTTGGAAAGAGATGTGGTTGTTGCGGTTAGTTTGCAGTTAGTGCTACCAGTCTGTCGTTACTGAATCCCTTTATGCATCAATAGCCAGAGCACTTTCTCAAGTGTTGTTCGTTTTCCCTGTGAGATGACTCCTAGACAAGGCTGCGAGAGATTCGAGAAGGTGGACAGGGTTAGGGTTGACAGGGCTTTGAGGATGTCTGCTCTGAGCAGGGTTCGACGGGAAGAACTCTCAGGTACCATCGACAGCAGGGGTCGGCAAACACTGTCTTTCAAGGGCTTTTATCACTTGCTCTAAGAGGTTCGAAGAGTCTGGGTAAGAAATGAAAAGCCTTGCAGTGTGGCCAAACAACACAGCCCTCTACACGCCTCTGGGCAGGGCCCTGCATTCCCACTGTTTCCACGAGAAGCCTCCGGTGTCGTCCTGGGGTTTCCTGGATCCCCGGGCCACGGCCTCCGCAATCAAGAGGGCCCGTCAGTCCTTCTGGGGTGCCGCCTTGGAGGGGCGCTGGGTCGCGAGAGGGCGGCCCTTGCAAGCTCTCTCCGGGGCTGTGCTTGGATGCCTCTGCCATTTGTAGCAGACTAATTTTAAATGTATTTTTAAAAAATTGTGGTTTTTTTTGCCTTCTCTTATAATTATCTGCTTTATTATACTCACATTGAAAGGAAAACAAAGAGAAAAGGGGGTCACGGTACAACCAGGGGAAGCACCGTGTGTGGGCAGTGCAGCTGGGGGAAGCGCTCTTCCTTCTCTTCTATTGCTAAGAAATGGGCTGACGTTCCCCACCTTCGACACAAATTAAGTGTGTTTTTTAAAATCCTCACCTGAGAATCTTTTATTATTGATTTGAGAGAGAGAGGAAGGGGGAGACAGAGACACATCAATGTGAGAGAGAGACATCAATCGGTAGCCTCCTGCATGCGCCCTGACCACAGATTGAACCCGCAACCTTTTGGTGAACAGACGATGCTCCAACCTACTGAGCCACCCGGCCAGGGCTCCTGAGGTGACTTTTATTTTAACAAGCCCTGCTTCTCAAATTGAGGTCCATGGTGTAAGTGCAATTTGGGTTATTAGAAAACAGCCACAGCAATCCCCGGCCGGACAAGGTAGGGATAAGTAGCTACGGAATATCCACCCCTCAGTCCGTTTCCTAAGTTCAGTTCGGTGCTCCTGTCCCATATTCATGAGGTCGGAATACCTGCACTTTTAAAGGTCAGACTAAATGGTAAGACCTCAGAGAGGGCTGACGGCACTCACTCATCTTTCCTCTTCAGGTTCTCCCTTGCCTGCTGGGCTTTGGTGAGAATGAACCACTGCAGGTTTGCTGGGTCGCAGAGGGTCGGGATGTTAAAATGCCCCAGGTCGTGCAAGCTTGGAGCGTATCTGTCACTGTAATGAAACACGTGAAAGGAAAACTGTCGATTCCCTCCATCCCCCACTCCACCCCAAAGAAAATATTTTATGGGGCTGATTAACGGAAAAGGAATTCATCAAGGAAATCCACCCTAAAAGTACAGCCACACTGACGTAAAGTCCCGCTGTGTCCCAGGAGGCACATGTGACCAGGATGACTGCACACTTCCCAGTCCTGTGACCTTCCCCATCCATAAACTGGGGGCTGGAACCCATGTCACGGTGCAGGTGTAAGAGGGAAAGAGAATGCACGTAAGCCCCAAGCACGGTGCCCAGACAACGGTGCACGTGGTGTGTGCACAAACAATGTTGGCTACTGTTTCAACGTGAGTTTAATCCTGCCCAGTTTTCCACAGGATTAACTTTACCCTGTAAGTGACCATATATTTATAGGTGCAGTGACATTCTTTTCTGCAACCCCTAAGAACCACACACTGAAATACAAAACAACTGAATCGACTGACTCATACATCCCACCTATGTGAATAAATAAGAGTCATTCTTGTTTTAGGTATTTACCTGTTGAGGATCATTTGTAAACCACGCAGACTTCGAGGGTGGAAAGGTATTCTATTTTTCAATAGTCGCTTATAGAACACATCAAGGAGAGAATAATATTCTTCCAGTGTCAACACTGGCTGTAATTCTTCGATATACACAACCTGTATGCCGCCTAGAAGATAGCTTATTTGGTCTTCTAAAAGCATCAGCCTCCTCTGAAGGTCAAAATAACTTGGTAATCTTTCAAAAAGCTACAGGATTTTTTTAAAAAGGAAAGAAATATTTAGTTTTGCATTATAGTAACTCAACTTTAGGTTTCCAAAAAATAGTACTGAGATATTTTCACAAGTTAATTATTTTCCTAGAAAGTTCAAGTAAGCAATAAGCAAGAGACTTAATGTAATGCTGGAAAAGTTAATATTCAAAACAAACCACATTAGGATCTTAGGAATTTTGAGATAGGAATTGAAGCCATTGCAGAAAAAAGGAAATACGTTCCAAATAAAAATAAGCCCTACATACTAACATACATTTAGGAAGAATCTCAGCTTGGCTTGGAGTGATTAAATGGTACAACAAAGAAAGGTTTTATTTCAACTCCAGGTCTATTTCTTCAGAATTTACTTTAATCCATCTATATCAAATTAAATGCACTAAACACTACAAGCACCTACCATGTGCTTAGCACTGAGCTGGGCCTCTGGAGCATACAGATTGTAAGAGTTTGTCCCTCTAGGCCAGGGGCTCACAGTCGGGGGACAAGGAAACAACATAAAAATCAGAATTCCGCACGAGAGGTGGCCCGGCAGGGTGAACGGACACGGGAGGGCCAAGCACAGGTCTCTAAGGAAGCCTGAAGGGGCCAGTCGGACAGCAGACATGGGGCTGAGAAAGGGCTGGACGCGTGCGGGGACGTGTTGAGGCAGCAGTGAGCAGAGCGCGGGCCAGCGCGGGTGCACGGGCGGGCGGCGGCGCGCTCCCCAACGGGGGCTCCCCAACGGGGGCTGGCCCAGGCGCGCCTGCGGGGGGCGGACAGAGCTGACGGCAGCTGCGGGGAGGTCAGGGGCAGCCCTTGTGAGCCGCAGGAGGGGCTCGGATTTCACACAGAAAGCTGTGGTCATACAACTTTCAGGGCAGTTGAAAGGCACTGAAAACTCTGCCACAATACAAGCAATAGCAGTATAAGGTCTCTACGAATGATTTATAATGTACTTCTAACACTTTGCAAAAAATAATTTTACTCCTTTTTCAATTTTCCTCTCAATGGGTTATCTATAAATGGTAACCACATTGTACAAACTTTTTATTTGGCGATCACTGTAGACTCGTAGGTCTCCCCATGGAGCATCCTGGGGAACTCGAGTCCTGTCACAACCAGGAAACTGAAGTGACACAGGCCGCTAGCCTTATTCGATTTCCCCAGTGTCACTTGCACTCGTGTGTGCATTTAACGGCGTGCAGTTTTCATCACACGGGAGGAGTCACGTGACACACCCCAGCCAAGACCCGACGGGTTCCACCACCGTCCCTCGTGCTACACTTGCACAGGCACAGGCGCTGTGCCTCCCCCACTCCTCAACCCCCGGCAGCCACGGATCTGTTCTCTGTGTATCTGCATTGCCCGAGGGCTCTTACAGGTACGGAGTCTGCGGGGTCTGGCCGCCTCGCTCAGCACAGGCCCCGCCCCGCCCCCCAACTTGCTGACAGCTCACTCCCTGGACGGGCAGTGCTTTGTTTAACCCTGCGAGCGCTGAGGGGCGTTACTTAGGTTTTTCCCCCTAGGTTTTGGCTGTCATGGACATTGGCATACAGGCTTCTGCGTGAACATAATTTTTTACTTCTCCAGTATAAATGCCCAGAGGTGCCGCGGCCGGGCCCCAGGGAAGCGCAAGCTGAGGGTTACAGGAAGGTGCCACGCTCTTTTCCAGGGGGCGCGCACCGTTTTACACTCCCACCAGCAGCGAGCGAGGGAGGCCGTTTTCTGCATCCTCGCAAGCATTGGGTAGTGTGTTATTTTTCACGTTAGCCGTGACGATAGGTTAGTGTAGTGACATCCCGTTTTAGCTTTCATCTGCGTTTCCCTAGGGTTCATCATGGGCATTGTCTTGGCAGGTGCTTATTTGGTATCTGTCTGTCCTCCTCTGTGACATGTCTGTTCACGTCTTTTACCCATTTTCTGGTTGGATTCTTTCTTTTTTTTTCACTATTGAGTTTTGAGAGTTTTTATATATTTAGACACAAAGGCTTTGTCAGATATGTGGTTTGCAGATCTTTTCTACCAAATATTTGATTTGAACAGACACTTCACAAAGAAGATATGTGGACCGCAAGGACGCACATGAAAAGACACTCGCCATCTGTTGTCATTAGTGAAATGCACATTAAACCCACGATGAGACAGTACCACACACTTACCAGAACGGCTACAATGAGAAAGGTGCTGTAGCACGTGCCAGCAGTTCCTTAAAAAGTTCCACTACCCTAACATATTCAGTCGTTCCACGTTTAGGTATTTATCCAAGAGTAAGGGAAATACATCGCCATAGAAATATTTGTAGATAATGTTCATAGAAGCTTTATTTCTAATAGCTAAAAACTGACACAGCCTAATGTCCGTCAATAGGTGAGGGGATAAACAAGCTGTGGTATATTTATATGATGAAATACTGCCTGGCCATGAAATGGGCATGGATGAATCTCAACATGGTTATTTTAAGTGAAACAAATAAGACCCTTGCCCCCCAAATTATGTACTCTGAGACTCCAATTATATAAAACTATAGAAATATAAACTACGTAGAGTGACAGAGCAGACCAGCGGCTGGCTGGGAGGGGTGCGGGGATGGAGCGAGGGCTGACTAAGGGACAGGAGCACACTTTTGTGGGTGGCAGGTACGTTCACTATCTTGACTGTGGTAATAGTTTCATGGATATTCATAGATGTCAAATCTCATCAAATTATACACACTATTTATACATAGTTTGTTGTATGTCAGTTATACTGTAATAAATCTGTTAAAACAACAGAATGCAGGTCATTATCCGATGTTTCAGGAAAGACTAAAATTTCCCAATAAAAACTGACTTAAAGATCCGGTCTTCTAAGTAGTATTTTAATTACGTGATATTAAGCGTCTGATCTGAAAAAACCTGTAACTATGTTTAAAAACTTTTTTGATTTCATTGCCATAATAGCATAGTTTGAAAGTGTATCGACAAGTAAGGTTTCCCGCGTTTACGCTCTTCCCTACCTTGGTCCAGTGGTGGTGGACGTCCATCGTCCCCAGCATCACGTGGCCCACCGCGCTCACCCCGGAACGGTCTGTGAATATCACCGTGCACCCTGACAGGGAAAACAAAGCCTGTGGTCACTGTTCACGGCTGCCTCATTCTGTCAGCACTGCGCAAATAATTACGTACGTGTAGTGTGTAAGTTCAGGGTTCAATTCAGCAGAAGTGTAAAGGCGAATTTTATGTTGCTGATTTATTCAGAAGAATGGATTTAAAAATTCATCTGCAAAGACTTTTAACAGTTAGTTTTCTCTACACTTTATAGATGTGAATAACAGCTACGTAATATTTTAAAAGACAATGGAAATTGTTTACCTTTTGCGTTTTTAAGTGTTTCCAAGTTCTGCTGGGCTAAGCGGCCTAAGCTATGCAGCTGGCTGCAGCGATGGGCGATGCCCCAGCTCCGCTGCCACCTGGTCCAACAGAGAGCACAGCGCGCATTAATACCCGGCCCCCGAAGGGGGAGGCACGCATCACCCCCGGATGCTCACGTACGCGCGTTTCCAAACTAGCTTAGTTTTCAAGAAGCAACCAAATGGAAAATGAATTGTTTACTGTAGGGTAAAAATATTACTAATAACGTTCAGGTACCTAAAGATTTAAAACAAGCAAGTAAGTTTCTATTTTTAAAATAGAAGGGTGAAATGGGGAAGATTTTGAAAAGATTTTTTTTTCCTCTACATTGCTCAATGGCGATGATTTTGCTTTCAATTTAAGTTGCAATTAGGAATTCCAGCTGGGTTTATCAGATCCTTGTTCCTCATTGTTGAGATGGTGATTTTTATGACACCACATAATCTGCTCATTTTATACAGGAACATTGGATCTTAGTGACAAATGGAACCTGACGTTCATGTGATGTCACAGTGACGCCACTCTATAAAGGTAGAACGCACCGGTCTCACATGGCACCTTTGTACCCTAATTCCGGCGTTGACGAGCTCTGTGACGGTGACCAGCTGCTCCTAGCCTTCCTAAGGCTTTCACACATGCAAGCGTGGCCCCGTCCCCTGCCCGGCCCTCTACACCGAAGGGGCACGTATGAGAAGGCACACGGCACTCTCGAAAAACTTAGGTTCCTCCCTCCGCTGAACACTGAACTGATGAACGCCATTTGTGAGAAAATGAAAGTAGTCTAAAATTTTTTCCCTTTAACTCACAATGGAAAAACTTAGATATAATTTTAAAGAATTAACATTGTGATAAAGCTACTAACTGCTGTTCTTATTAATAAACGATCTTTCAGACGGGCTGTTTAGAAACAATGTAATTAGCCACAATGCTTCCATTTGGCGGAGGCTAGACTGACTTTCCAGTAAGTGGGGGCGCAGTCATGCCCATGGGTCTCGAGTGCTTCTGTCTCAGGACCTGACGCGCTCTTGGAACCCCGAGCCCCACAGAGCCTTTGATGAAGGAATAATTACATTTACAGAGTATGAATGCAGGAAAAATGATATTTTTATTACAAACTCATGTAAAAAAGTTCAACTAGCTACAGATACATCAGTATTTAAACCTTACTTCACTATTTTAAACAAGAAATTGATAGGTTTTTAAAAAAAGATTTTATTTATTTATTTTTAGAGAAAGGGGAAGGGAGGAAGACAGGGAAACATCAATGTGTGGTTGCTTCTCACACGCCCCCTACTGGGGACCTGGCCCGCAACCCAGGCATCTGCCCTAGACTGGGGATTGAACCGGCAACCCTTTGGTTTGCAGGCTGGCGCTCAATCCACTGAGTCACACCAGCCAGGGGAAGAAACTGACAGTAGTTTTCTTATACAGATGAACATTTGACTACTTTGATAAAAAGTAGTCAGTATCTAGTTATCTGAATAATTAAAGTAAAAGATGCAAATATTTAACCAGTAGAGAACTCTACCACTGGGTAATGCGTGTTCATTCTAATCTGTGAACTAGGTTCTCCATAGTACCTGATATCTGAGAGCTGCAACTGATGAGACAGTTCATCTTTTAAACGGTCTAGTTCTTTTCTAAGTGGCAAACTATTCTCCAGCTTTTTAACGGCACGTTTCCCATTGTTATCTAACCAGGATCTAGAAAGAAAAAAACATATACACATTCTAACTGCAATGCAAACACGCCTATTAACAGACACATGCACTACTTTAAAGTAACCCCAATGTTAAACTCCAGTCAAACCTTTACCAAATTACAGTTAAAAAAAAAAAAAATCAAGTGTAGACGGAAGTAGCTGAGATGAGACTTCAGCTGGGCATTCGGCTGAGGGGGAAGGGACGCCGGGGTGGGAAGCACACCAGCCTCACAGGAGCGGTGGTTTTGGAGACCTGGTGGTAAAAAGCCTAGATTGCTAAGGACGGACGAATGAAGCGACCTGGATAGAGAGAGGAGGGAATAAATGTTGCGAGCTCTGGGCACGAACAAGCAAGATTAAAATAAAGGAAGAAATTGGGGTCCACCCAGTTGGAATCCACACAGCACCCACTGCGCGCTCCTTGCTCAGGACACGCTGCCCTTTCAATGTGACCAGCACCATTAGATGGTGCTTCTTTGATGGCGACCCATGGTAAGGAGTATTTTACATGGTGACTCAGCATGAGCACACACACTTATTCATACATTGAAATAGAACTGAAACAAGAATTCTGAAAAACAATATTTAAACTTACTGACTATATATATTTAAGAAATTTCAAAAGGGAAGATAGCAAAACAACTTTGTTGGTCCCATGTCAATAAATTGTTATAATCTGCAATTTGAAAAACACTGACTTAGCCTTAATCAAGGGCAAAAGTAAATAAATGCATGTATTACTTAAATCATGACTATGAAGTTCCCAAACATTCTACAGAAATTGTTCCAATGGTGTAGTTGTTCAATGTGGCCTTTTGTGGACACCAAGACTGATTCAGAACTTAGATACTGAAAGTAAAATATAACTACTTGAGCAAAATTCGAATAGAAAAAGTGGAAGTGTCATCTTAGTAGTTAACAGTATAGCATTTCAATGGTTTTTCTATAGTTCAGTGGGAAAGATAGGACATATGCGATTATTTTGTTTAGACAGAAATGGAGCTTGTTGGCTCCTTCCAAACTCAATTTTATGTTATTAAAATATTTTTTGTTATATTATTTAATAATCAGAGAGTATTTCCAAAATAAGGAAACACTAAAATTGGTAACACAGAGTAGCATTTCCTAAATTTTTTTTCACTGGTAAATTCTTTTTATTATAGTATACAATTTTAAAAATTCCTTAGGTATTAAAATTTTCATTAAATCCTTTTTTATATGGTATACAGTGCAATGGTTTTGAAGTAAGATAAAGAACAATTTGCTGAGAAGTTCAAAATTACATAGCATGTCCAAAAATGTAGATTGGAATGTAATTACCAGATGTATTATGAAAATAGATTAAATGGAGCTTTTATTAGCTGATAATTCATCTGTTTTGAAAAACCCAACTGATTCATTTTCAATTTTTTTTGTTTTATTTCACAATAGTAAGAGACTATTTCAGCTTGTATTTCTCAACAAAAACAAAATAAAAAATTAAAAGTCCACACTAAATAATAAAATTGTTTTATTTTCTCATATTATGTCCTGAAATATTAGAAATACCTTAACATGCTTTCAAGAATAAATTTTGATCAGGTGAATGCAACTTATAAATCATGTAAAAATCAGTTTGATGTAAATTTGCAGAATTATTTTAATCCTGCTTCTGAAATATTTAATTCAGCATGCGTTCCTTATGATTCCTCTTCTGTAACCTACGTATATAATAAAGATGAATTAAACAATACAAGAATAAAAATGAAAGCTTAAACAATATATGGCCAGAACGACCACGGTGGCTCCCAAGTTCTGGTCGAGTCACAGAAACTCCACACCTCCTGACTAGGCCTCCGACGCCCTTCCACCTTATTTGGGATCCAGCCGGGTAACAAGGGGAGAATTCCTGAGTTAGTGCAGACAATCCGCACAGCGCATGCCCTGCCAGGAGATAATCGAGGGTAAGTTGCCACGATGCAGGGACGAAGGTCCCTGGTAAGCCAGGGACTCCTCAGACACAACCACGGGGACAGGCCGTGTGGCTGGTCTTTACAGGCTGCGAGAATGACTTACTCAAAATACATTAATGGTGACTTAGAAACAAATGACAGAGAAATGTTTGTATATGGTTTTTGTAATTAAAAATTTTATCGATCTGTTCCACATATTTTAAAATGTTGACACCATGTATTTTTATTATATATGGGTTATTATAGTAAAGGACCTCACTGTTGAACTCTCCAAAGACACTGAAAATGCTTAACACATGAAGCAGCTTACATTTTTAATAATAGATTTAGATATAAATTCTTTCTTTATATACTAGGGGTAACTTAAGGAGTAGAATTTTAAAAACTTAAAACAATCTCCTGTATGTGTTTGGTATGAAAAGATAAAAAATTTAATACAATTGGAAGTATTTTGGCAACTTTAAGAAACATGCACTATCTTTTCCATGTGGTTATTACTATGTTAACTGTACTGACAGGATTCCTGTTCCTGAAAAAAATTAGACTTTAATTTTAAACACGAACTACAAGTAAGTTAAGCATGAACTTGTACGTACGTTAGGGTGGTTTCCACTCTCGAGACTTGTTCAAGGTCTTCGTCCGGGTCCTTGAATCCAGTAAAGGAGTAATAAGACTTGTCCCATTTGATGGGCCTGTCGGGCATCCTTTTCGCCTCTTTGAGAGGCTGGGGATGCACATTGCTATTCAAGCTTTGGACATGTTCAATTGATAAACTGCAGGAGTTGAGAATATATAATACTGTGCTTAGCAGATCTCGGGTGTGCAAAGTAAATTTGACTGCTCGAAATCCTAGAGAATATAATTCCCCCAAACAATGAAGATAGGTGATTATTTGCTTTATTTAAAATTTTTTTCGTACAAAATTTATACAATCAAAACCTTTTAAAACATTCAATTATCAATTAAAATCCATCCACTTGTCAATGGAACACCACTCCCCTTCCCCACATCCATGCCAACACCATCTTTACCTTCATCAATCCCTCTGTCACTTCCCTTTATTAGTCTGGCACTGGTGACAAAGCCGACCCACCCCAGCCCCAGAAGGGATTCCGAGTATTTCAATGCTGCCCATAAAGTTGGTCTCTACGGTGTAAGAGATGGTAAAACTCTCCGATGAGCCAAGTGTCCACTAAAGGTAGTTTCTAAGAAGGGAGAGGGAGATGGGGGAGGGGGGGTTGCCCCGTGACAGGTTGAGAAAAGGAGAGTCAGGCAACGCAGTCTCAGTGGTGACAGAATCCCACCTAGTTTTCTCTGTGATTGAAAGAGACTGTCCTCGTATTTGCCCACCCAACTAGCTCGGCACTCAGTATTTTCAGAAGCGACTTAAAATTCCCTCATTGCTTAACTGTGCTTCACAATCTGATTTTGATACTGGGTAGTCAGCGGGCTAAGGTTAGTCCTCTAACTTGTTAAGTCATCAACAGGAAATCCACTGTTCGTTTTTCTGCTCCCCTTTATTGGGTGTTAGGTGCGGTGCTTAGTTAAATCATATAACTTGTCAACCAACAACTCCCAACAATTTTGCAGTAACTATCCCTCCTTCCAAATAGGAACAAAGGCTCAAGGAGGTTAGAAAGGCTGCAGCAAGGGCTTAAATCTAAGCTGACACCAACCCAAGTATTTTCTCCACTGTGAAATGTTTTTTCTTTTTTAAAGACAATTTTTAAAAAAGATTTTATTTACTTATTTTTAGAGAGGAGAAGGGAAGGAGAAAGAGAGGGAGAGAATCATCAATGTGTGGTTGCCCCTTGCGTGCCCCTCACTGGGGACCTGGCCCACAACCCAGGCCGATGCCCTGACTGGGAATTGAACCCATGACTCTTCGGTTCACAGGCTGGCACTTAATACACTGAGCCACACCAACCAGGACTTTTTTCTTTTTTAAAAAAGTACTGTAATTGGTTTTGAAAATTGTATCAGTGTAAGTGCATCCTTACTGTGAAATTAGAGAATATTACTGCAGATACAGAGCACTTACACCATTGCGGGAAGTCTTAGCCCTGCTTGAGACATTTTCTACGTGCTTGTGTGTTTGTGCATATGTGTTTACACAAACACAGCCCCGCCATCTGACTTGTCACTTAACCTTGGTGACCCTTTCATATCTATACGGATAGATCAAGCTTATTCTTTTTAGTAGCTATATATTGGTCCATATAATGAAGGTAGCATAAGTTATTTAACATTTATGAAACTGATGGACATAAAAGTTGTTTTTAATTTTTCACATCCCATAAAAAGCTGAAATGTATTTTCTTGTCTTTGCCAATGATGACAAATATCACAATTTAAATCATTCTCAGGGATATGTAGTCTCTCGCCACATACACTAAAGGAGTTCAGAGCATGCAAACTAAGAAGGATTTTCTTGGTTCAATCATTTGATGGTAAAATGAGAAATATAGGCATTACCCTAATCAGTGAAAGAGGAAAGGAAAGTACAAATTCCTGAATTTGAGATTAGGAAGAAATAGTTTATCCTTAGAAGAGCCAAGTCAAGGAATAAATCTCAGTTTCTATCTTATCAATTCCATTAATTATTTAATCCAGTGTAAGGGCTGCTTTATAGTGAGGAATGCCTATACCAGACTGTACATGTTCTTTATTGGAAAACAGTACCTAATTAATTTAGCTTGCATTTGATTACTAAAGGAAAATAATTTCTTTATTAGCTATTTATATGCATCATTTCCCAAACTGTTTAGTCATTGCCTTTGCCCTTGTTTTGTAATAGAGCTTCTGTTTTCTTTTTGATTTCTAACCCTTATATATTAGCATTACCTTTTTGTCATGTATGCTGCATGTTTTCTCCCATTTCTAGTTAATTCTTTTCTAAAATCTAGTTTTGTTTAATGAAAGGTTCCAAGTTAAGCATTAATTGGAAGTAGAGAATTTTAGTTTTTGCTCAGCCACAGCTGACTACAATTATTTGTTTCTACATTAACTCACAGAAAGCTCTTAGAAATCTTAACTTGTTTTAAAATTTATTATAATAAAGTTTATTTCCTCATAGACCACCAAAAAAATGGGATGAAGGAATGACTTGGGTCTTTAGTCTCAGTAATGAATATCACTAGTAAACATTTTATTTTACTACCATCTCAATTATCAATAAAAAGGTGATTAATAATTTTTATGTTCTAAAAATAAAAATGTAAGAACTTAATTTTATTATCAGATAAAAAGATTAAAGACATAAACATGTTTTAAATCTTTGTCAGAGTGCCAATCTTTGTCATAAAGGCAAAGGCAACGATTAGTAACTATTTTTAGCGAAAAATGAATAGAAAATATGCTACATAAACCAAAGCACTAGATTAGGAATAAGGAGATATTATTTCTAGTACCAGCTCTATGCTTAATTTGCTGTGTGAAACTGTCTAAGCTCCCCTGTTTGTTACTTCGCTCACAAAGAAGTCTGGTTCATTCTTTAATTCTACATGTATTCAGTGTTTCAGACAAAGCCAGTTGATGTGGTAGTGGAGTAGCAGCTGAAGCTGTAGAAATGAGCTTGAGTCTCACAAACATAAAAATAGAAACAGACTGGTGATATTTTTACTGTACAAATTGTGAAGGATATACTTTACCTTTATAAATCCATCTGTCATGGAGAAATCATAAAATCATGCATAAGCATGATGTTTTTTTTTCAATTCCTAGCCTAATCTTGACCCTGAGTATTAATAGAAACATTTATCTATTTAAAAATATTCACCAATATCTGGCCTGACCCTCGCGATGACAGTACCTCAGCTGCTTACAAGACTCTCATGGCTAAGACCAGCACATTCGTCATGATTTACACTTTCAAACGGAACTGTGTCATTTAGTGATAAATACGATTATTTATAACTATTACTATTAGCACAGCATTCTTCAGTAAAGCTGTTCCTTTCCTTCACAACAGGGTTATAAGTTGACTTTTTGTCTCTGGATACTGAAGAACAGGGCCTATTTTAAACAAAACTCCATATCGGATGGAGACGGAAAAACAGCCAAGGAGAGGACCTTGCGGTTCCTGATCTTCCCATTCAGTCATGGGAGGATAAAAGGTAGAGGACACGCCAGAAAGGTGTGTCCCTGGGGAGACTGGGCGGGATGTGGCCTCAGACACAAATACCCCGTCCTGGTACTTCTCAGACCACGCTGCTCCTCACTCCATCCAGGTGTCAGTGCAAGTCAGTGACAGTGTCAGAACTTCACCTCTTTCATTTTAAGGCGAAAGGCCAGAAGTTAAGGTCATACAGCTAGTCACTGGAAGTGCTAGAAACAGATTTTAGATCTCAAAAGGCCTACCAAAATTTGACTTTCATTAATAGTTTGCTTTAAAAAAATTAGTGTGTAATTTCTTTTTGGTCCCTGTTTTATCCTGACCCAAAGGCGTTGTTTTTTTTTTTTTCCATTGCCTTTTTAGGGGGTGAGACGGGAACATAGATGTAAGAAAAAAGCATCAATTGGTTGCCTCCTGTACCTGCCCAGACCAGGAAGTGAACCCACAAACTAGGTATGTGCTCTGACCAGGGATCGAACCTGCAACCCCTTGGCTCCGGGATGACAGTCCAACCAACTGGGCCACACGGGCCAGGGCTACTGTGTATTTTCTAATTATTTTAGCCTTAACTCACAAAAAGCTCTTAGTAAATCTTTAGGTTGTTTTAAAGTTCATTCTAAAAATAAAGTTATTTCCTCAAGGATAACGGAAAGGCTACATATTTAGAGAAATAACGGAGCGACATTTGCTCTTCATTTTAAGTATTACTGGATCATGCATGGATGAAGCAGTGACAAAGGACAAAACAGAAGGCTGCATCTTAGGAATGATTAGATTTACAAAACAGCACAAGGCTGGAGTCAAAAGACCTGGTGGGGGCCAGGCCCACGCTCTGTCTGCGCGGCCCCGGGAGAGGCACTGAACAAGGGAATGTAAGCTGCACTGTAAAAAAATTGTAAATTGTTACATAGTTTGACACTTAAAGCAGCATTAAAATAGGAAGGGGACAAATAGGAACACTTCGATCTTACAGACAAAAAAGTTTAAACACAAAAAATGACTTACTGAAACACATGCAGCCAGGAATAGAATCTAATTCTGGGAGAACAAATCAATTAAATGACATTGTTTTTCTATGACCAAGGCTTCAATCCAAAGGTATTCTGGCAATGTCAGGCTGAATGAACTTATTTAACATGATGCCTACAAAGGACAAACTAGAAGTAAGAAAACGTACCGAAAGTACTGAAGGTTTCCTGGCCTTCAGAGGAATTTTGATCTGTTTCTCTTACATAAAATGTGAGCTGAGTTGGTTTCAAAGACCTGAAGCCTGGTTTCTGGAGGTTTTCTAAATAAACACTTAACCTCTGAAGAGAATTTTCATTGACTTCCTGCAAAAAAATTATTACGGGGCATTTACACACAAAATAGAACAAGTAAACAACAGAAATTACATCCTGACTTTTTAACACATATTGCAGGTATTAAGTGAATCAGTATTAAAAGGTGCTGGGATTTCACAGCACTGGTAGAGGAAGAAAAATGTTCACCTACTGCTAGGTTTAATTTTTCCACACATGTTGGATTTAAAAACTTTAGCCAATGCCTATCAGGTATCACCATCAGAATATTTTCTAAAAACAAAGAAGCAAAATTGATTTGGTTGCAATTGCAAGTAGAAAAATGTAATATAATAATGTTCTAATTTTCAAGAGTTTTAAATTCCTTTTCATGTTGAATCAGAGGTCAGTGTTAATGAAGATAAAATGAACCAATGAAATAATTTCAAAGCACTAAGCTTTGTAGTATATTATCTAATGTTAAAAAATATCGGCCTTGGTAACTAGAGCAGATCCCGAGCTGTTTTCCACGTCAGGCCGCATTCCCCGAGCACACAGTCCACGTGCTGCAGGGACGTGGACCAGCAGGACGCGACAGAAGGGACAACAGAGGCCTTCAATATTCTTTTATACCTTCAACTTTACTCAAGAAAAAAAAAAACAAACCCTGGTCCAGGAAACACAATTAGTAATACTCTAAAGCGTTAAGAGCTTTATTGCCTGCATAAAGAATGTCCAATTTCATAGGAAACAACACATTTTCAGTTGGTAGCACCTATATTTCAAATTGAGTCAGAGCACTGATTACGTATCACCGTGACAGAACTGCGAATGCACAGAACCCTCTGTATTATACTGTCACCGAGGTAACTAAACCAAACAGACACGCAGACTTAAGGTTAAGAAAATAGTAGATGTTTACCCTTTCCCTGGGGTGCTGGCCAAAGAAATCTGGATGCACCGCAAAATAGAATGGCCTCAGAGCATTGACTGCTTCAGCTCCCGAGAAAGCTCTCGCGTAGGAAAATCGGCGTGGAAATACCTTCTTCAGACATAAGCTTTCAAAGAGATGAGCATTGATTAACTGCTGGGGCCCTACTGTCCAAGCGAATCCCCAGTGTAGAAAGTGACGGCAACATTAAAATTACTATGCATGGGAAATACCATAGAAACAAGATAGCAACCAAAATCCAAAACTTGCTTTGTGGTTTTCTGAAATCTTCCAAGTTTTAACAAGCAGTGAGTGACACACGGTTTCTAAAAACAGTGGATGAAAATTCCTCTGATACAATATGAGAATATTAAATAAGAATAATACAATTTCCTCTCAAAAACCCACTTGGAAATGTTACCTGGTTTCACTGCAAATGATGACAATTTTCTGAATCATTTTTGTCTTCAGATTAAAATAACTCTCAGTGTCCCATAGTGTCATCTTTTTATAGTGAAAAATACTTTGAGAATTGTAATGCTTGAAAAGAAGATACAGACTTCTCTCGATTTATTTCCTCATTACCGGCATGCTAATATTATTCTAGGTGGAAAACTGGACATTGCATTCTTAAAATTTGGCATAACTCACCTGAGAGTGTTTTAGTACAGTTTTAAATCTAAATGAAATCATTTGCAGCTTTAAGTAAGCACTTCCCTGACATCTATTTTTGCATGTTACAATGTCCCTTTTCCATTCTGTAACAGACTACATAAAGAAGTCTCTAAATACTGGGCACATTTTTGTCTCATATGCTGTGCTAACTGAGTCTTTTGAAAAGTTTGCTATGTTTAAAATGGTAGGACTATAGCATCACTGAAGATTTTTTTCAGCAATCTAGAGACCACCAACATATTTTCAGATTACCTTTGGTTTGGTTTGGTTGGCACATATTTGATTCTTCTTATAAAGTCAACACACAGGTTGCGTGTTAAGGATTATAACAGGAGTCTGAACAGCAAAGGAAAGAGCGCTCCAGGTATGAAAGTCCTTAGTACGAGGCAGTGTAAATAAATGTGAGTGACAACTCCATTTATGCCCCATCCAAGCTTCGACAGACACTAGCCATCCTGCCAGCCGCTCAGGTTTTACAAGTCTTAACAAAAGGAATAGCGGTCACAATTCTCTTTCTAAACTCAACCTGGGGGCAGTCACACTGCTCAATCCAGGATAATTTCTGTTACTGTGGTTCCACTTTTCTCAGCGTTGCCAAAGCACAAAACCTCAGATGTACTTCTGCCCAAACTAGCTCACGATCCCAACCCCATTTTCAGTTAGTCTTGTTTCTTCTCACTTTCCCATGTCCCTTGAAATCATTCCTTTTCCCCATTTTCTTGCTACCAAATATCACCACATACTTGGACTGCACAGCCACATAATCAGTCTACTTTTCCCTAACATATTGTATATAGGTTAATTTTCCTAAAGTCCCACTATCACTGTATGCCCTCCACCACAATATAACTTTAGAATTTGAAAAATAATAATAAATTAAAATTAGCCAAATGCACAGCAGATTCTCTCCCCCTACCCAATACTAACTATAGATGGGACCATGAAGCTTACCTCCTCACAGGTCTCAGGTGGCAAAACATTTCTGAATATGTATGTACGTCAACTTCCAGGCATCCATTAATTGCTAAAAAAATTAAGCAGATATCCATAATCAACAACTTAAAAACATTACTATTTATATCAGCACTCACCCAAATGAAATAGTCAGCTATAAATCTAACAAAATATGTACAAGATCTATATGAGAAAAACTACAAAACTCTGATAAAAGGAGTCAAAAAAGAACCAAATGGAGAGAAAGCCCATGTTCACGGATAGAAGAGTCAACATTGTCAAGGGGTCAGTTCTTTCCAACTCGATCTATGGATTCAGTGCAATTCCAATCAAAATCCCAGCAAGCTTTTTACGGGTATTGTCAAAATCATTCTAAAGTTCATATGGAAAAGCAAATGACACAGAGAACCAATCCGGCACCGAAGGAGAACAAGTTGTGGGGCTGACACCATCCAACATCAAGATTCACTATAAAGCTACAGGAATCAAGACAGCATGGTACTGGTGGAAGAACTGACAAACTGAACTTCATTAAGATTAAAAACTTGTGCTCTGTGAAAGACAATGTAGGCAACGAGGAGACAAGGCACAGACTGGGAGATAAATATTTGCAAAAGACATATGTATCTGAAGGACTTAAGAAATCAAAACTAGTCTTAGTTAAGACAGCATAGGTACAAGGCTCAGAGCTTGCAAAGAAGAGACTAGAAGGACGTACATATGCAATCTATAACTAGCTATCTCTAGTTAGCTAGTGGTAGGATAGTAAGAGCTTTAATTTTTTTATTTCCTAGGTTATTAACAATGACCATACGACATATGTTCTTAAAAATTAAAAAAAAGTCAATGCTTTTATCATACAAATTAAATGAAGAAAATGATCACAACAGAAATGAGCATCGTTCATTCAGTATTTAAGACAGGCCCCTGGACCCGGGAAACCTATCTGTCCAAATACAGTCCTGGACTGTGGCCCCAATCTAGCTCGAGAACAGCTCTCCACACTCACACATACTGACAAACACACCAATAAGTGAGCCAAAACTGAAGATAAGAAGTGAGGAATAATACTTGGGAGGCATATGATTATCCACGAACACAAATGGGAAGCACGTTAAACAATATGCAGCAAAGCTCCAACCGACATGTGTTATTCAGCATAAAATGATCCTAGAAGCAGCCCTGAAAAGCCAGAATTACTAAACAATGCAAAGAACCTAGGCCTATGATTGCAACAATGCAACCTGTTTTAACTTTCTTTTTTTTTTAGTTTTTGCTATAGTACGAGGGTTGATAAATTTTTTTAAAAATTTTAATTATTTCTTGCAGTAATATCTTAAAAGTTCATAGAACTGGGATGTCTCCATCTGATGAACAATGGAAGTGATCCAGGTGATGTGCTCTATTGGTCATTTGAAAAAGCAAGACATCAAAGCAAACGAACCACTGAAAATAAGCTGTTTTGAAGTTTCAAAGTTAAAGCATAACAAAAAAACAATAAAAATTTTTGACATCAACTTACAAAAGACTAGTTGCTTCAAATTTGACTCATCAAGAATTTCAGAGGCAGGCATCCAAGTCACTATTCAGGAGTTTACAAATCTATACATTTGTGAATAAGAATTGATAGAAACAACAGCTGATTTAGTCACGAAAACAGCATGAAGGGTTTATTTAAAGAGTTCAGAATTAGTCCCCAAAGAATTACCTACAGCAAAATTGCAAAAATTAGAGAATGTATCCTTAATGGCTTTCAAACATGGAATGGAACACAAAGTATATTTGCAGAGAATTATTTAGCATGTTTTAGAAGCGTTTCCATCAAAAATAATCAAAGCAGAGCCCTGGCCCAATGGCCAAGTTGGTTGGAGCCCATACACCAGAAGTCTGTGGGTTCAATTCCCAGTCAGGGTACATACCTAGGTTGCGGTTTCAATCCCCAGTCAGGGACCATACAGGAGGCGACTGATGTTTCTCTCACGTCGATGTTTCTCTCTCTATAATATCCTTAGGTGAGGATTAAAAAAAAACAACCAAAAAAAAAAAATCAAAGCAGAAAAAAAGTTCCTGTACAGTACTGGTCTTCAGTTGTCCAGAAAAATGATTCATTCACTGTTCACTTTGTAATCATAGGGTAGAACTAAATGCTACTGGGCAATGACTAATAAAGAACATTAAAACTTGGAAATGGGATAACAGATTCTCACAATGAAAATAAAATGTTTTCAAATACAAGTGTGAACATTAAATCATGGTTTCTAGATTTAGAAAGAGAAAAACTTAAAAAAAAAAAAGCTATTACAGGTAAAGAATTAAGTGTGTCCTGCCTGCTTTTTCTGTTAGCAGGCTATTTCTTAAAAAGGTTCACACTGCAGTAGCTTAAGAGAATTGCACTCCAGGCCTGTGCTGGATAATAAGGTAGCCACTAGCTACATATGGCTATTGAGCACCTGAAATGAAGTGCCTTAAGTTAAAGTACCCATTAGATTTTAAAGATTTAGTATGAAAATATGAAGTATTTCATTAATGCTTTTTTATGTTGAAATAATTTAGTAAAATTAATTTTGGTTTATTTGTTTTTGCAATTTGCTAATAGAAAATTTAAATTGACATCTGTGGCTCATGTTACATTTCTACTGGACTGTGCATATTTCCGTCCATGCAAGACAAAAATGCTTGAAGTTAACATGTTGCTGTCAGAGAAGGCCATCTGCTTGACGGTTAGGGAAGGGAGGCTGGAGCACCTGAGGTCTGTATTCAAACCTGGACTCGAGCACTGACGAGCTGAGTGAGCAAGGGCATGTTATTTCACCTTCCCGTCACCTGGTAAATGATACAGATGGTCCAAGAGCAGCCTATTCTGCTACAAAGAAGTTTCTTTGACGTGAATTAGATCATGGGCAGTTGGTAAATCAGGAAAGGCGTCATTAACATATGCAGCCTTTCCCAAGCATGTTAATGATTTGGAGTGATCAGAGGTGGACTTCCTATGATTATAAGGCTTTAGCTATACGGAAAGACTTAAGGAGAAAACCTGAAAATCCCCAGTAGTTCCTTCCTTTGGTTCAAGCAGCAGATGGGTTAGGGGCTTCAGGTATCTGCATTTTCCACGACATCGAGCAATCTGGGAAGCTCCCGATACAGATGAAAAAGCTAGAGATTCCCACAGGTCTTGTTCTGAGTGGTGTGTAACTTTTCCCCTAAAACCCTGTTATTTTCCGGTATTGTCTTGCAGCACGTCAGGATTTCCGAGAACCCTCACAGTGCACGTCATCACAGTGGAGACACCTGTGTAATATATATGTGCTATCCCCCCGAACTGGCCTTCGGTTTGAAGTTTAAAAAATTTCATTAAGTGAGAGAATACACTGAGCTAACACAGTGCGACCGTCTGCCAGGCAGTAATTTGGCCAGAGACTATCTTTATTGTAGGAAATGTTTATACAGTTAGTGAATATTTTATGGAATTTTGTCTTTAGTAGAGAAAGAAAAGTTACAATTCTAATACTAGAAATAAGGACTAACAAATTTAACATAAATGAAATAACAGTCAATATATGTATCATTGGCCTTTAGTTGATATTCACTAGACTGAAGTTATCTTCACTGTATGTTTAGGAAAAAATGTTGAAAGACACATGTAAAACGCTGGAAATATTCATTAGCGGTTTTCTAATAGGTGGAATGTAATCCAGAACGTTATAATTAGGTTTTAGCTCTCTGGACATGGAATCCCACATCACAAAATTGTACATGTTTTTAGGAGTACATTATGTATGATAGTAGGGGATATATGATTTTTCTGAAATTAAGTAAAATAGTTATATAAAATAATTATATATAGCTGACAACCCCTGGCAAATAAAAATTCATAAAAATTTCCAAGTATTATCATTATTTTATAATTCCCTCCTAATAGAGGCTTACATGTTGCTAGAACATGGAGTAAAATAAATTTTTATTGGAAAACTCAGAATTATCAAAATAAGGGATCAATGTCCAAAAGTCTTAAATACAGTATTAGGCTACTAGAAGTTTTGCTTGAATTAGTTCTTTGTTTCCTGTATGGTTTACCTCTTCTTGAGATTAAAAAAATCGAAGTGGAAGCAAGGTTAGAGCCCAGCTGGCTGGCAGGCCTGCCTGCTTGCCCTTTCCACTGGCACACATCTTGGGCCAGTCCTCATCTCTGCAAGACCAAGAAGCCAATTTTATCACTTCCGCTGGAAATAAACAGGTCTCGGGAAAACAAAACCATAAGGGTTCTGACTCATAACTACCATGTCAACATTTTAATTTACTGTGAGAAATATAATGGCTGGGACGACTAGAAGATTCAGATCTGCAGGTCTTACAGGACTAGCCACACAGGAAATCAAATTACCACCTGCACATCGAATATGCATCGCTTCAGAGTAGCGCTGGGTGCTCTCATAGGCTAGTGAGACACAGTCTGAAAGCCTAGGGCACCCAGGTCAACTGCAGGGTTCCCGTCTTCAGACAAATTCTCACACGGCTGGTTCTTGTGTGTACTCCATGGAGCCCACTACCTTCCACTGGGAAAGCCTCAAACATTCTGCAAAGTAACTAAAAAGCTTACACTGTCTCATCAGACTTGGAAGGCACTCTGGGTCCCTAATTCACCCGATTCATCAACAGGCATTTACCAAGCACTCACGTGCCAGGTTCTGTGCAAAGTATTGGGGACAGAAAAATATTAAGACAATGCCATCTCTCCAAAAACTGTATCACAGCCCTAAGAGAGGGGCAGGAAGTGGAAAAACATACACAAGCAGATGATTATAAAACGATGCAGTAAATGAAATTAACAGCCATGTGCAGAGTATTATGGGAAACTCTCAAGTGCTGTACCTGGAATTGGGGGCTGTGGAAAGTCTTTTCCAAGGAGACGGTGTTGTCCCCTCTGGACGGAGGGTGAAGAATGGGGAAGGACACAAGTCATTTAGAAAGAAATGTAAACGTTTGCTATACTCTACTTGCTACTGCTTTAGCTTCTATTTCATAAAATATTCTGATATTAACCTAAATTCTGCGCTGTGAAGTGAGGCATTAAGTATCTGTTCACGTTTCAAATTTCGTAAAGAGATACCTAAGTTAAGAAACTTTGCTTCAATTACTTTTGATACAGAAACAGTAACAGATACAGTAATGTGTTTGCCAACTAGAGGCCCGACGATTGATCTTTGGCCATTTGGCACAACTTTTATGACAGTCACTTTCACAAATGACCTCAGGCTACTCTCACTTAAGCTGTGGCTACCATACTCGGTTTTTAAAAGCAGTTTTCCCATTAAGCAGGGATAAAGGCGGGCAATTTTTCATTTCTTTTCAGTTGAATGCTTCCCGGGGAAGAGGAAAAAGGGCAAAGAAAAACCCAAAGTAGTAAACTCCTATTAGACAAATTGTGGTAAGAGCAAAGTATCTAGATTCTTTAGCTTTCTTTTCTAATCTTTTGCTACGAGATTTGAATCATCACAATGTCCCATGATAAGTACAAGACTTCAGGTAAATAGTATAGTCGGAAAAAACGAAGCCTAAATAAATCGTCTTTGGTTTCTCATTTCAAAACAAGTTATTAACACAGATGCGGTGCAGACACTCTGGCCCCTGGCAATGCCTCCGTTCGAGTTAGCACGTCGAGCTAAGGCGACTGCGCGCTGCCCACTGCGACCCCCCTTTTTGCCCTGAGTGGCCAGAAGGAACAACTGGAGCCCCTCCCCTCCAGCTCCTTACAGTTCCGGCAGGTGTCCGCCGGGAGGGCTTTCTCCGAACTGTTCCACCTCCGACCTGTTTCACCTCCCACCCGGTACCAGTGGCTGTGCGGGGCGCGCGCGGCCGTGCCCAGGCGCATGCGCACCGGGGCGCCGGCCCGACCCACGAGCGCGCGCTGCAGTCCCCGGCGCTCCCGCCAGCCCCCGCCCACGAAACCGGAGCTCTGATAGGCTCCTACCCACCGCGCTCCCTGAGGCTCCGCCCCTAAAATCTCCGCTGGGCGCGCCCTGTTCCACTCGGCCTGCAGACGCCTGCCCCAGCAGGTCCCAGGAGGTGAGACGCAGCGGCGGACGGAGCCGCAGGTCGGGCTCTCATTGGCTGAAGCGTGCCAGGCCTTCTAGCCGGGGGCGCGTGCGCGCAAACCGAGACGCGAGTTGAAAACCTTAGCGATAGCCGGTCCCGCGGTGACGTCAGCGCCCAGGTGCTGGCCCCGCCCGTCCTCCTTCTTACCGCCCGGCCGGAGGGAGCTCCGCGCGCCCGCGGAGACTTTAAGGACGTGCGAGGGAGCGCTCCGAAATATGAAGGACTGGGTTGGAGGGTGTCGGAAATGACTGGGCGGCAGGTGGCGGGGCCTGGCTCGAGGGTCGATGGAGCGACTGAGCACGCGCTGGAGGACGCGCGCATGCGTCCCCTCCCCCACAACCCCCACCTTTCCAACCGCCAACCCTGGGCGCCCTAAGAGGAGGCGAGGCCGCCTCCGCAGATCCTCCCGCGGAGCTTTAGGAGCTAACGCCTTGGGACGACCGTCAGTCCCAAATGTAGATAATTTAAAAAAAATTTCTCTTCTCCGGTTTGCATTTCCTTTCCATTTTGGCTCTTGCAGTATCTGGCTATTTTCAAACCTTAAGCACCCTCCACCATCAGCTTGGGTTACTATTAGTTGTATTTCGCTCCTATGACTTTGATTTCCCCTAGAAACGGCCGCAGATGAAATAGGCAAATACGAATAACCTATATTTTCCCTTTCCTGACTTTTGGCATTGTTGACTGGGGTGGGGCAGGGGGGAAGCCTCCATTTGTTCCAGCCCTCACGGCTCTTCTCATTAGAAATAATCTGGTCACTTGTGATCTATTCCACACTATCTCATTTTTCTAAAAGTTTCATTTATCAACTCTCGCGTCTTCATCCTTTCAAATGCTTCTTTGCTGTCAGCATCTAAACAGTCTCATATTTAATTCCTTTCTTTGGGGTTCAGTTACCTCCTACAGAAAAGGCTAATTTATAATTGCCCGTTTACCATTTTGCAGTTGTCCTCAAAGGCACCTCAAACGGATGGTAGTAATATCCAAACCTATTTTATTCCCTAGGTGCCGCATTTAAATGACAGTTACAGTCGCCCAGTTCTTGCTGGAGAGCTCGTCGTCTGTGTTGACGTCTCCCATCTCACTTCCCAAGCCTCTTTGTCTTATTTATTCACGCCACACTTCATGGCCAGCCGTGACTTCTAAGTGCTAGGAGTTAACTAAGTGCTAGGAGCCGTGTTAGGTTGTAGACTTACTCCAGTGATGCTGCCATGACCAGACTTTGGGAGCTCCCTTAAGAAGTTCTTTCAGCCCCTGTAGTCACGACTTACTCTTTTATTACTCACCTTATTCAGACTTTTTCTCCAAAAGATTTAAAATTACGGTTTAAAGTATCAAATCAAGGATTGAGGGGGACCACTTTAGAGAATGATTGTGGTACAGATGCCGAAGGTGACTTCAGAAAAGTAGTTTTTAACTTCCTGAGGTGGTTTGGAAGGGACAATCCTTGTTTGGAAATATAAATTCTGGTATATTTGTTTAAAATACTGTTTTCTTTAGTCATACCTAACGTATTTTCAAAATACATGTAGTATCCTGAGATATACTAAAGGAAAACTATTCACAGGGTAATTTTAAGATTTTTTGGTACAGGCCCTGGCCAGGTAGCAGAGTTGCTAGAGCATTGTCCGGGTGACGCCAAGGTTGTGGCTTCCACCCCTGGTCAGGGAACATGCACGAATCAACCAAATGGATGTGCCAATAAGTGGAACAAGTCCATGTTTCTCCCTCCCCCTGCCCCTGCCTCTTCTCCCTTCTCTCCCTCTAAAATCAACCAATAAACAAAGTTTTGCTGTAACTCAGAAGATACTCTGGAATTTAGTATTTGAGTCATTTTTCAATATTTACTATCGTATATTACAGATGTGGAATCGGCTTATAGAAATTGGGTTAAAAAATACCCCAAACTGGATTGAGTATACATTCAACCTACTTCATACCCCTAAAGATTTTCCTGAATACCCCAGTCACCTGCCTGCACATTTCCTCTTTTATGTCTCCCTCTTATTAAATGCTGTACAATATTCAGTTTGTGATTTTTCAGTGTTTGGATTTCATTATAAAAAGGGATTTACCATACTTAGATTTACTTAAAAAGAGGTCAAAAAGTGATTTGAAAAATCACTTCAGTGGGAGTAAAACCATTATTAATTGCATACATCAAACAAAATTTTTAGTGTCTGAAAACTATTAATTTACTGTAAATAAAGGGCAAAAGCTGACTACATTGAAAACCATCTATTTTTATTGCCTTTTATTTTCAACGATGATTACTTGAACTTAAAAAAGTCTATTAACTAATGGTTATTGAAAAGCCAAACTTTTCCAGCCCACTTCATGTTTTCTTTCAACCATTTCAGGGCAGAACAATATTCCAAACTGTACACCTGTTCCTTATTAACATTGACAGTCATGTGCTTAATGAAGAGCTTTGGATCTGACAAACGAGCAGCCATCATTAACCTTTCCACCGCAGCTTGATAATCATCCTTGCTCTGAGATTTGTTTTCTTCACATCTACAAAGACAAGACCTCACAAAGTCAGAAACTCTAAAAAGCGATATAATTTTTTCAAAAGATATTTACATTTATTAGTACTAGTTATGACAAACTTTTTATTATGTTCTATTACCAGTGGCTTTCAAACTTTTTTGACCATAACACAATATGAAAGATATTTGGTATTGTGACCCAGTATACACCCTCATACATAAAAACTAAAAAGTTTCAGAATACAAGGTGTACCCTACGACAACGTACTCTATTTTCTGTTGTTTCATTTTTAATAATGTGGTTGCAAGCCCCCTAAATTGATTTCACCACACAAATGGTCTATAACCTGCAGTTTGAAAAACACTAATAGCCTCAATCTTTGTATTTTCAAAGTTAATGACTGCTTCATTTTTTCATTATAATGCATAAAAGGATATTGAATTTAATCAAGTTTGGAGTTACTAACATGTTTTACCTTGATACTAGCTATTTTGAATTGTAAACATATACTTACTATGTAGCTAACGTTTGATAACAGAAATTGTAGCTATGCCCTTTAATTTTTTTTTTTTAATTTTTCTTCAGTCCTGATTTAAGGTACTTCACAAAGTGCTAGAATTTACTAATAACTTTTCTAATAGTCTCCAAATTTCATAAAATTCATACCTAATGATTGTTTTTCCTATGGGATAGGGAGGGGGAAGGGGATAAGTAGAGATGTGGCTGTTAATAAGCATAATTTTTTTCTTTTGTGTTCAGTGCATCTTGCTCTGGGCATATACAGGGCCCGGCAGCAAGACCCCAGAATGGGCCCACCTGCGTTAACCGCACAGTGTGGTCCACAGAGCGGTGGGAGTGAGGACTTCCACTTGGAACAAGAACCAGTGGTCCCGAGAGGAAAGATTGGTCAGGCGCCATCTAGTACCTTCTGGCTTAGAAATTGGTGCCTAGAATCTGGTAGATTGGGCATGTGCCAACTATATGCAGTTTTTGAAACTCTGAAGATGAATAGAATTCTCTCTTATACAGGTTATTGTAACAAGATGTTAAAATTTTTATTGAATGGTAGTAATTTGGTTTTAAGTCTCAAACAGGTCACATTCATTCTCAATTTAACTGTTACCAAAGTTTGCAAACACACACTATAGTAGTACATAAATATAAACACATGTAAGCATATATACACATATATAAACATACATAAATACTATATAAAACATTTACATCCTAGGGCAGCTGTTGGGAGTCCTGATCTGTTTTCAGGGTGCAATTAGAAGTTATCAACCAACCTTTTCAAAACTATCTGTAGCGTCTGAGTCGGAGTACCAGGGCTCTGAATACTACTAGCATTAGATACCAGGAATATTTCCATAGTTAAAAGCATTTCAATCTCAGATAAATAAGAAGGAATCCGTAGAAGCTTTCGATATAAATTTCCTTCTAATGGTGGATAGCAACCCAATGAAAGAGCACCTGAAAATCAAATAGATCAAACTTTACTAAAACCCTAACAGGTGAAAACCTAGACTTCCAAAAAATGCATAGGTGATAATTACAGTGCAGAATAATTCTTCACATTAGAAGCAGATTTATTACACAAATTATATAGTAGATAGCTTATTCTGGTACATTTAAAATTATTCTTTGTAAAATGTTTTTGATACATTTTAAATATGAATTGAGAAATATGTTTAAAAACTATGAAAAATGACTTTTGAGCCTCATGACAACCATTTATTTGAAGCCACAGTCAATAGAACATAATTTCAGAATAACTAAAAAGCCAGAATAGCTACTTGGTTTCTGTTTTAATGGGACATAGTCTAATAGCAACTACATATATTTATAATTATTGCCTATCTTGAATTATGAACCTAAAGTGTAGAAAGAAAATAGAACTTACAACTAGGTTTTATTTTCTATCACATTATTATAGTATTTCTAATTTATTGATTTCACAAAGAAAAAGAGAAACATTAATTTTGTTTCATTTATGCATTCATTGGCTGATTCTTCTATGTGCCCTGACTGGGGATTGAACCCGCAACCCTGGCATATTGGGATGACACTCTCACCAATAGGGCTCTCAACCAGGGCTCCTCCTATCACAGTATATTTGAGTACATTTATTTATAGTGCTCTTATAGTGAAGTGCTTGGGGAAAGTTATCCACAGATTTTTTATTGTGTGGGGTTGGCACCTCTAACCCCCATGTTTTTCAAGGATCAACTGTATAGTCTATGCAATAAATATTTATTGACATTGAACTAAACACTAGATATAAAAATGAATAAAAT